TCATATTTATTTCAAAAGAACGGTATATTATATCCTATTCAAAGTATTATTCTTCGGAAGCTATAACCTTTTTCCATTTTTCGGGCAGTACATGGATTTCGCGATAGAAAAATTCAGGTTCTTTCGAGACAGTCCAGTCATCAAACCATTTTTTTAATCTTCGAAAGAACTGAAGTGCTGCTCAGAAAGGCCATGCTGCATCGACCGAAACAAATGGTAATCTGAAGAAGCAAGGTCTGATAAATAGGGCGGTTAGGGTAAGACATTCCATTCAAGTGCCTGCAAGATTTCCTTCACTGGTGTTGCAACATGTGGTCTAGCATTGTCATGGAGAAGAATAATTTTGTCATGTTTTTTGACGTATTGCAGACATTTTTCTTTGAGTGCTCGATTCAAATTGAGTAATTGTCGTCGGTAGCGTTCAGCATTGATGGTTTGACTCGGTTGCAGCAGCTCATAATATACTACACCGACTTTATTCCACTAAATGCGCAGCACTTCTTTCCATGAATATCTTGTTTTGGCGTTGATGTCGATGGTTCGCCGAGACGCACCCATGATTTCTTGCACTTAAAATCGTTATAACGAATCCATTTTTCATCGCCAGTCACAATTCGATGTAAAAACAACTTCCGTTTTTGTCCTTGAAGCAGCAATTCACAAATGGTTAAACGTTTTGCAATGTCTTTTTCTCTCAATTCATATGAAACCCAGTTTCCTGGCTTCTGTATCATTCTCATTGCTTTTAAATATTTGCTAACGGTTGACTCATCGACATTTAGTGTTTCCGACAACTCTTTGAGCTTCTGACGTGAATCTTCTTCTAGTAATATCTCCAATTCTCTATCTTCAAACTTTTTCGGCTGATCAGGGCGCTCTTTGTCATTCACGTCAAAATCGTTGTCTTTGAATCATCTAAACCAATCTCTGCAAGTTGTTTCAGATAGAGTATGCTCCCTATAAATCTCCACTAGCAAACGATGACTTTCAGCAGCAGATTTCTTGAGATGAAAGCAGAAAAGTAACGCTTCCCGTAAATGCTCTTTTTTGGTATGAAACCCGACATCTTCAATGCGATAAAAAATTGTGTTCTTTGCACTACGATCTAATGTCTCACACCGATTGTTAAAGCCTATTGACGGTACTTTTATATATATCAACAGTCACTTTTGGCCATGTTGAAATAGCATAACTACTGACCTCTATTACTCAATAGCGAGAATTAATTCAAGTACCTAATACGTTTCCCAAAAGTCCTTCATTTTCTCGTTAACAATCATATCTTATTAACAAGGACATCACCGTGTCGAACTTCCTCTGTTTGCTCTCCGGGCTAAGTTGAGCTGTGGAATCCATCGGCCTAGTTTTTTGAATTTCTCCCAGCTTATGCAGCAAACGAAAATTGATTGACGGGTTACTTCTAGTTGTAACGCAAATTTATCTTGAATCTGAGTAGGATTTTCACCCATAATTAGTCAAGCTCCTCATCTCCAATTTTTTTGGCGCTCCATAATATTCATCAGCAAGAGAAAAATCACCACTTTGAAACTTTTGATACCACTTTTTACAAGTTTTGTATATTTTATGCGCAACATCTTCTCCCAAAGCTGAGCAAATCATATTTGCAGTCTCAGCAGCATTTTTTAATTGGAAAGTAGAAAGAATGTAGTGTCTAATATGTTGCTTACCGGTGGTCATCACGTTCGATACTGTTTTGAGAGATTATGTTGTCAGTTTCGCCAAGCTATATAGCGCGCTTTAAACATTAAAGCTTCAAAAGCTTCTAAATGACGGGGAGACATTTGAAATTAAAGCGAAGTTATGATTGATTAAAGATAATGGCACCGAATTAATGCACACCTAATATTTAAGGTAATTGGATGTTAAATGTGTCCAGATTTTATTAAAATGAACAAAAATGAACAAAAATTAGCCCTTTTTTAACATCTTCTTTTGTCAGCATTGAACATGCAAATCTTGTGCAAGATTTGACACAAAGGAAAGAAAATAGTAAGATTTATTTGTAATTTGTGTTTTAATTTGTGATTAATTTATGTCAATGCCCTTACAGAAATTTATTACTGCTAAGCTAGTGATTAATTATTTATTTTTAATATTTAAAATACTGTTGTTAGTAATTCGTAATGATTAAATTATAAAGCTCGCAGTGATCCCAAATATTTCAGTGCTTAGGGTTGCAGTGATTAAATATTACCTTATCATTAATATGAATACTTAAATACTAATGCTTAATGTGCAGTAGCGATGAAATATATATTCTTACAAAAATTTAATATTGAGAATTACTGAATTTGCAGTGATTAAATATTGAAAAAGCAGTGGAAATATAATAGATAGTGAATATATGTTAAGCAAATATTCCGGTAGCAGAAGATCTAGGACTAACTGCTAACTAAATGACTCAGGTTTAATACTGCCCTCAGTCTATATTTTTTGTTTTTGTTTTTTTCCTTTTTTCTTTTTTTTTTATTACTTTTACTTTATTATTATCATCAATAAAAAACACAGACAAAATTTATGTGTATAACTTAAAATATATTAACCATCGATTAAGTGTTGGCTAAATAATTATTGAAATACTGCCAGTACTTAACACGTTCATTGCCAAGCTGAAAATTGGAATTTCGTGTGGTGACCAAATTTTTTTAATTTTTTATTTAATTTTTATTGTGCTCAAAATAAGTTAATATATTATTTATATGCTTTTATTATTATGTACATAGGATTTATATATTCTAAATATCTATTACGCGATAACGCGTGATCGGCCGTTTGGTGAGAACTCGCATCACACGATATCGCGTGATTGGCAATGAACGTGTTAATAACTTTAAATTTCTTAGTAATTCTCAGTATTAAATTTTTGTAAAGGACCGTCTACATTGGAAGTAAGCAGTAATAAGTAAAGGGCGTCTACATTGGAAATAAGCAGTAATAAGTAAAGAATAGGGTATTGGCTAGTAGTAAGGCAGTAGGGAGTATGATTTAGGAATGATTCATTTTGCTTATTGCCGGTGTTACGCTTTATTCCACTGAATATATATATATATATATATANATTCATTTTAATCTTAACAGGCAAATATTTCAAAAATATGGAAGATATGAGAAAATGTTTTAAATAAAAGTTGTAGGGTTCGGAGAAGGATATAAAGCAGTGATCTTAACTTCGTTCTACTGTCAATAATTCAAGATCATTTCAAAGTCAACTTTATTTTCTTAAGTAGAATCATATAATTTTCTTAACACAAATCGACTCTTCTGTTCATTATACGTATAAAAGTATTAGGGCAAGGTCACCTAAATACGAATACTTTTCGAGTTATTTTACTTTTCATTCTGATTCTCCACATTAATCAGCAAATGAGAGATCTACCTACGTTGAATTCTACACTGAGAAACCCATTTTGTCGAATGAAACAAAATTTCTTGTTTAAACCATTTTGTTGACTAAATATATAATTTTTGTGTTTTTATTTAAAAAAAAACATTACGGGAAGCAAATAAAATGTAATCTTAACCAAATTTTTGTTTGAATCGATATATTTAAACAAATAAATAAATAAATAAAATAAATAAATAATAAGTGAATATTTACTAAACGACAGTAAGGATGCTCTTTCTAGATATTCAACCAAGTATAGACACTATTACGGGTTTTTCGGAGCAAGACAGATGGTTTAGTGCTATTACATAATATTGAGTTGTCCGAGAAAAATCGTATGAGTTTCTTGGATCAACATGAAACACAATTTTTGAATACTAAATGAAGACTTTATTCAATAAAGTATCCATTTTGTTGCACTATTTTAACCCATCTTTCAGGCAACTGTAGGATACCGTCCTCGAAGAACTTGACTGGTTTGGAGGCAAAGAGGTCGTCCATATGGTTTTTTACTACCTGGTCGAATGTTTTCCCGTTCAGAGAAATGCTAAAAAGAAGGAGGGCAGAAGGTTGTTTTTTTTTAGAAAACACAGCCGAGTCGGCCGTCGAATGGAAAATGGAGAAAGTGTGTACGTGCGTGTGTCGTGTGTTCTTCTATGTGTATGTGTGTATATATGTACAAAAGCGCATGAATGCGAATTGTGTCGAAATGAAAAACGCAAATACATGAAAACAGACAGAGCTGAGAGAAACTCCAAAAACTATGAATCGTGAAATGGACAAACAGGGTCAGGAAGGCTATTGGTTGAGACATGGTCGATTACGACCGTATCAGTTAGAATAATATATGGATAGTCTTGGAACGTAGAATGCAGAATGCCGAATTTGTTATCTATTTTATTTATTTTTTGTTTTCTTTTTTAATTTCTCGAATTGACGAAACTTCAAATTAAAATTCAATCAGTTTATTGATGGTAAAACGATTCATATGAGAATTTCGTAGACGTGCATTGTTCAACATATTTAACGTTTGATTTACATAGGCTTTAAATTGCGAATCTTAAGACTCAAGTTTGTTAAGGCTCCAACCGAGAATGAGGGAATTTTAACGACTTGAAATGACATTCAATTATTCATCGATTCAACAATCATGTCCGATCAGAATACTAACGACTGACTTTGCGGGCGAATTCAAAGTGCTCACTACTACTCTTTCCGTTTTACGAATCAACGAGAATCAAACGGGAAAATACGAGAGAGTGGGTTGTCTGCAGACTGGTGTATATATCTGTGTATGCATGTGTCCGTGTACTTTGGTGTGCGACAGAGCGACGATAAAAAGGAAAGAGAACGAAAGAGTGAGAGATAGAGATTGAGCGAGTGAGCAAGCGAGCGAGAAAGAGAGAGAGAGAGTGTGTACGAGAGGGACCGAAAGAACGGAACGAACGCAAGGAAGGCAAGTAAAAAAGAAGAGAGAAAATAAAGAGAGAAAGAGGAGGAAGGCTCCGGCGGGGGCCGCCCGTCCATGAACGGAGGACGCTGATCACATCCCCCTCGGACTGATCGGCTCTCTTTCTCCCTTCCTGATTCGCAGGTACGTCTTCACGATAGTCAGCTACTTGATCGGCGTCTTCATATTCGCAACCATCGTTGGCCAGGTCGGCAATGTCATCACCAACAGGAACGCGAATCGTCTCGAGTTTGAGCGGCTCTTGGACGGCGCCAAGACTTATATGAGGCATCACAAAGTGCCCGGTGGTATGAAACGACGGGTGCTCAGATGGTATGACTACAGCTGGTCGCGTGGCAGGATCCAGGGTGGCGGTGACATCAATACCGCCCTCGGTCTACTACCGGACAAGCTGAAAACCGAATTGGCGTTACACGTGAACCTCTCGGTGCTTAAGAAGGTCACCATTTTCCAGGTGAGCTTCCCCACACCACGTGTGCGAAGAGCCACCGTCGACGACGGATCGATTCCACAAAGTGTCGGGCAAAAGTGGACGCGTCGTCGGAATTACCGCGTTTTATCGTATTTCTTCCGAGCACTTCGATTTCCATTATAAAGTGGAACGAGTACATACTTCAAACATTTCGACAATTACCCTGATGGAAAAGTATTGGCTAGTGATAAATTATTATTGCTCGATAGTTTCATTACTCGTACAAGTGATGAAACTATTATGTGTCACAGGTCAATTTATCGCCAGTAATTGTCTTCTGTAAGAGTATGAGCGAGGGACAACACGAAGAAAACGAAACAAGTCATCCGAGTCGTTTTCTTTAGTCTTAATTATTGTCGAAGTAATGACTAACTTATTTTCCGTATCGTTTTGAATCGAAAAACACATAAATCAGAAATTAAACTTCCCACGTCAACTGCATTTATTGTAACGAATTACGAGTGACTTCTCCCGCATACTAACAAACCACTTGTCATTTCCAATTTCTTTTTGCAAATCTTAATTTCGGGGATCTTAAAGCATTTTAATTTTTTCAAGTCAGCTTAAAACACAATTAATTTAATCGCAAATTCGTTTCGCTTAATAGTTTAATTACTAACAATATATTCTTCTTCCTTCTTAAAAAAGCGGAGCGATGAGAAGTCGAGCATTTTATCTTTCAGTATTTTTCTTCTAGCGTTTTAATCATATCTCAATACGTTAATATGCGAGTACGATTTGCACTGATGAAACGCCGCGCATTTTTCTACGCCAAATACGATCTCAACAAAGATTTTAAAAGACTCGAGAATATATGAATCTCCGTTAAAAACTGTTAAAATCCGAGATTAAAACGTAATATTTGAGCAAAAACGTCGGTACTTTGAGTACTTCGTGCAAAGAAGAACTTTTGGAAACGCACAAGTCGGACCTTAAAGCAACAGTGATCACGCTTATGAATAAACTAATTGATCATGAAACTCTTTTTCTCGCTCTATATTGTTTTTCGTTTTTCTCGATCATGCATTAAGCCGAAAACATTTTTCTTCGACTGTGACCAGAAGCTTATCGCTTATCGTGCGATAAGAACGAAAAAGAAGAAGAATGCAGATGAGAAGAGAACTACACGAAAAGCATTTGAAAAGTTTGCCGAGAATGATGTAAGGTCATTAAGGTAAAGATATTATACGAAACTTTGCCACAGTAAATTTTTCTTTTGACCGCCGCGAATTTTTGCACCGCGTGAAATTCCGCAAAGTTAACATGAAATTCCTCGTAAAATAGCATAAAATCGTAAAACACAAAGTTTCTTTGTTGTTTGCGTTAAATAAGTTTATCATAGCCATGCGCGGAAATAGCATCACCGTATAAAGTTTCAGGTGTTTCTTCGAAATTGTGATCTTTCAGATATTTAAAAACGTATGATATTAACCTGTTCCTTTGTTTCCATGTAGGAACAACAAATTTACATCTTCAAACATTTTTTTATCTACGATAAAGATAGATTCTGGCCTATATCTTGTTACTAAAATATAGCTTGGATTTTTATCTTTCAGATATAATTTCATCTGACCATCGCCCATCACCCCCTGGCGGTAGGTCAATAACCTTTTGCCATTTTTCCGGCAATAATTTGGTTTCCGCACCAATAAAATGATATGAATTATTTTTGGAAATAATCTACTTATTGACCCGATTTCACTCTTCCTCAGCATTTCGAAACCCTGTATCAAATAGACCGTGCTGCAACGATTTGAATAGATTAAAAGTCGGAACAAAAAATGACGGAAGAGGAAGTGAGGGCGCGAAAAAAGAGTGAGGGGGGGGGGGANAAGACGCGCGCGATACGGAAGATATTACGGAAGAAAAAAAGATCTGAAAAGTTAGGCTGGGAAGTAAGTGGAGTGCATACATCGAGATAAAGCGAAGTACTACTGCAAGCTTTCGAGACTTTTCAAGCGCACATTCGGCGTGGAAGGAATCGGAGGGAAAAATTACAATAAATAGTAAACGTACATATTTTTCTTACAGACAAGTTCGATTCACGCGCCTCTCTATATACGATGTATGAAAACATCCTGTAAGATCATTGTCAATCTGCCACAACCCATTATTAATTAGATTAAAGTAACTTCATCGTGATGTCTCTTCTTTCGCGTAACTAAGCGGCGCAAAAGTAATTAAAGTTGTCGAACACAGTTTAGTATCCGTATCCTCCTCCGTGATAGGTTTTCGTGGAAAACAAAGTCGGGAGATTCAACGGATTTGTGGAATTTTACTTTAGTTCAGCCTTTGCAACACGGCGAATTTGTGACGTGATATGAATAAAGACAGCAACGCATACGATATTTTTTATCATTTTCTAACAGTGATTATATATACATGTATAGTCTGTTTAAGAATAAGCACTGTCGCCATTTTTAAATACTATTTATACAATCACGATAAAAATAATAATAAATATTTCACATAACATAATTTAAGACGCAATTAGATTAATGATGATTGGGGCCGTTATCTTCTTAGAGAATCCAATTTTCTTTTCCAGGTCCTAACTACAGTTTCTCAAATAAGAGTTAGGATACCGTTTGCCAAGAGAATTCCTCTCTTATGGTCGAGACGAAGCTTTTGAAATTGCAATTACAGCACAGGAAATGCAATCTTATCCGATCTTCGAGATATCGTTTCTGCGTACGATAAAATACATTTTGTTTTTCAATATTGATCTCGGGATAAACGGAAAGCTGTTTATCGCGCGATTTATGGGAAGGATGTAAATTATGACCGTTGTTTTTCGGGTCAACCGCGTATTCTCGAAAATGTTTTCTAAAAGAATGGCGTGAAATCAAATGCCAAGTCAAATGACGATGATTAGCGACGAAAGATATTTTAAACGAAAATTTAGCCCGAACTTGTCTGTCCGAACGCCACGCCAAAAACTGTTCCATTTCCATTTGCATCCGCTCCACCCGATCTATTTTATCAATTCCTTTATTCATTCAAAGCGATTAACTTGCTTCACAATGGCACGCTCAAAGTGTTCCATCAGAGAAGGTCTCTTTTATGACCTTCAACAAACAATACAAACGATAATATCTTTGAAAAGAAGTTCGGGAAAATTTTTCTTCCTCTGGAAAACGAAGTTGCACGATTCGATTTTGCAAAGTTGCGGATAATTGCTGCTGACAAAAAATTCTATCAAATATATATAAATAAAACTGATTCCACTTTTTTAATGTATATTTTGTTAATTACATTAAATTTGACATCTTGAATTTGAAAATTTCGATTTTTAGACTCGTAATTAGTTACTCGAAAAACTCCTGGAAAATAAGTTTCATTCGAATTCAACCAAATTTAGCATTATTGTCCGCCACATTGAATCCACTATTTTTAATTAAGTACCGATTTTTTTATATAACCCTCACATTGACTTTCAAAATAAGCTCAGAAATAAGTCGTTATCTTCATTTTTGTGGAAAATATGAATTTTTAAAAGACCGAGACATACATATTCCACCAGGCATGAAAAGGTTAATTGGAAACTAAAACCTCCTTGAAGTCGTATACACACGATCCTATTGTGATATAAGCGTCACTAATTTGCATTGCAATGGCTTAGGATTAAAATACACGAAAATAGAATCGCGAAATATTGCTCGCGAGCGAGAGAAATATGAAATAGCGGATGACTTTTCGTATGACGGTGACTGCGTACGTAGAACTTAAAATGCTTTTTACACAAGAGTGACTTCGCTCGCTCGTAGCACATGTCGAGTTATTAAAGTTGTGACAACGAACCGGTGCGACTCTGCTTTTCCAGTGACGGTGACCATCGAACGTTTCGTCGAGAAATGTACAAAGTGCTTCCAGATTAATATTACACACGACTCTATTCTCCGATCGACTCTCAATTAAACTTTCCTTGGCAAAAAATAAAAGAAGAAACGCTGATTGGACGTTTATTATTTCTACAAGTTTCTAATTATATCATTAAACATCTCGCTGATTGTAAAACCTAAATTAAAATTCCGAGTTAAAATAAAGTTAAAGTGAAGTTAGAATAAAATAAAAGTCCCGTTAGGTAAAATAAAAAAATTGCTGTCATTTCTTTGTGATAATTTCAACATTAAATATATCAATAGAGTCAAAATTGAAGTTTTGCCGACGTGGAACAGATGCTTTCCGTGAAATGTATTCGAAAAAATTATAACAAATTTTGTCACGCTACTTTTCACCACCGTTCTTGAGGAACATTCCGCTCTCTCCATCAATTGTGATTCAAAACTGGAGACATCGTTGACGTCTTGAAATTTTTGTGAAGAAAAACGTCGATTTGAAATTCATGTGCTCCGAAGGATACTTTTACTTGCGCCATCGATTCAAACAGACACTCTGTATTTTTTTTCATTTACGTCGTTGTGTTCATTGATGCCGATGCTGTTCGAGCTGACTGCATTTTGATGAGGCCCATTGTAAATCGGTTGAATATAGTCTTAAGGACTTGATAGTCAAAGATAACAGCCCTAATCGGTCGTGATCTGCTCTTGAATCAAAACGGCAACGGCACAAGGATGTGTAGAACGCGTCATTGACCGACGGTGCACTATCGATCGAATGAAATATCGTGGTGAAAGATCACAGTTGGGTCACGACTCTATTAGCAAAAAGCTACGTAAACCGACAGGGCGAAAAGAAATCGTATTTCACGGAGAATTACAGCTGTCATCTCACGATTGTCAAGCGTTGCGGGAAATAATATGTGAATAAAGGTTCTGGCCGTAATCTCGTAAACGTCGCTCCACTTTGCTTCCTACTTTCGCATCTTTGTCTCGTTTTATTCTTTTTTCTACTCGCGTTATCTCTGCTGATAATATTGTAATACATATATCCACTGTGTTAAGTCTTCAAAAATCGTTTTATATGAAGATTACATATATAATTTCCCAATTTTAAGGTGATTATACAAAGTTAATGTTTGAAGCAGAATTTTCGTTTAAATTCCGTTTAAATTTAGATCTTATTATATCAGCTTTACAATTTAAATTTTCTTCCAGTCTAAATCCAGTTGCTTTCCAATTAAAATTCAAATCGTCGCTAACATAGAATTTTCATAATTTAAAAAAATTATTCTGTACAATATATATATTTTGTAAGTCACTTGGGCAAATAATCTGTAATTGTCTTGCAGGAATGCCAGCCAGAATTTCTGCACGATCTTGTGTTGAAAATGAAAGCCTATATTTTCACCCCCGGTGATTCGATATGTCGGAAGGGAGAAGTCGCCCGTGAGATGTTCATAATAGCTGACGGTATTCTGGAGGTGATCAGCGAAACTGGTCGGGTTCTTACGACAATGAAGGCCGGAGACTTTTTCGGCGAGATTGGTATACTGAATTTGGACGGGTTGAATAAGTGAGTAAAATTTGATTTTCTCCACACGCACATGATGTCCATCCAGAGGTCCGTATAACCTCCACAGCTTTATGTAACATCTTTCTCCACTTCCTGGTGAAAATCACATAGACTTCTAATGGAGGTCCATATTATATTTTTAACACGGATATCATAAATTCATCTTTTTAGGATGTTGATTAGACGAACGTGAATGGAAAAGGTTGGTCGTGTATTTCTTTAGTGCTTCTTTGGTGGAAAGTTTTAAAGTAATCTGAGAGAATATTTGGAAAAAATATGGCGTGAAATCCAAATTAGAGTGATAAAAAGGGTGGTGTGAATTTTCCTTTTCTACATATCGCGCGAACTTTTATAGACAGATGGCTGATTTTCGGGGAGGTATATAAAAAGAAATCATTTTTTACAATTCGGAAGCAATTCTTGTCTTATCTGTCCGCCTTTATCGCTTGAGTACATGCCTCGAATATTCAAGGCAAAGCATCAGTGACCGTTCAAAGTTTAAAGGAGTTCAGTTCTCGTCAATACATTAATTTTTCACTCGAATTGGTTTCTTTTTTTATATTAGATTTTTTGCGTCCAAAACGAATGCAACGTATATCAGAAGCGTTTGCTTATTCCTTCCCCGTCTGCGCTTTTTTATAGCCAATCGTGCTACATTGGCCATCATTTATAGTAACGAATATCTTGAAAGAAGAAATAACTTTCAGACGTACGGCTGACGTTCGCTCGGTGGGTTATTCCGAGCTATTCAGTCTATCCCGAGAGGATGTTCTGGCCGCGATGAAGGACTATCCAGAAGCGCAGGAGATCCTGCAGAATCTCGGCCGGAAACGGCTGATGGAGGCGCAAAGAGTGGCGCGGGCGTCACGTCAGCCTACATCTCCCAGCCACGACTCCTCTGACAACAGCACCGGTAAGCGGATCGTTGACAAACTGAAGAGCGACGTGAAAGGCCTGAAAAACGTGCTGCGAAAGAGTAGGCGCAACACAAGACCCGAGGAGAGCCTGGAGCTGCAGCCTCTGGCGCCGAAATTCCCAGCTCTGAAGAGGCAGCAGAAAGTCGACGACAGCCAGGATCTGTGCTTGCCAAATAGTCAAGAGCCACCGGTGTCGCCGTTGGGCGCCGGATTGCCTCTGTTGTCCAGGCTCAGGTTGCTGAAGGAAAAGGAAGAGAGGGAGGAACGGCGCAACCTGATGGACACGTCAAGCCACGCGGCAGATCCGCAACCGCTGCCACCTACGGAGGCCTTGAATCCCACCAATCCAAACCTACCGTTCCTGCAGAGGATACTCTTGCTGAAGGCGAAGAACGAACAGGAGGTCCAAGTGGAGAAAGAAGCGCCCACCAAGGAACCCCTGCTTCCTAAGAACACCATCCCCGAGGAGACCTCGCAGAACGATGAAGAACAGTCCTCGTCGGGTAGTCAGGCCGTCGCGACCATAACTTCGGAGGTCGAGACACGAGCACCCGCCGCGACAAACGCCAAGAAACCTTGGGCCATGCTGAAGAACGCATCCTTGACCGTGAAAGACAATTCACCGCAGAAGAGTCCGCCGGCGAGAAAATTGCAACAGACCAAGATGTACGCCTCCGTGGACGACTTGTCACCGGAGTACTGCGGCTTGCCTTTCGTCAAGAAACTCAAGATCCTTAACGAGAGGCAGAAGCTGGCGGAGCTGGAGAAGGCGGTGAGGAGCTCGTCGCTTGATTGCGGAGAAAACGCCGAGGCAGAGTTCGACGGTAACCTCACGAGGAGTCACTCGGAGGCGTGTGCTATCGAGTATGCCAGGAAATTGGCCAAGTTTAATCAAGTAAGTGGATTTCGCGTGTGAATATATTTCTGTTACATAATGATGCATTTTTGGAGCGCGAATCAGAATTAAATATTATTCAAGATTATCCACAAATTCTCGTAGTGGTGATATTAAAGTAACGATGTACTGAAAGAAAAAAAATCGGTTAAAGGAATTATCTCTCAAGGTTGGAAGAATTTTTTGCAAAACCTACAATCGGACTTAATGAAAGAAGAATCTAGTCAGATCGGCAACTTGAAAGATTTGAAGTGCAAAACATTGTTAATAGATAAAGAAGTTAACGAAACCGAAATGTGTTCTCTTACTACTGACAGGATGATCGAATCGCATATAATACGTGTAATTTTATCCTTCCTCAGAATATCAATTCATTCGTATTATTAGGAGATTAAAGAATTATGCCTGATCATTGAATTATATTTCCTTTATGTTGAGTTTAATAAAATGGCTAAAAAACATACGATTTTTGCGATTTGATCCATTTTCAGTGAAAAATCGCAATTATCCACTTCTGTGGTAACAAGCAGAAGAAATAAACGGATATATCTGATGCCTATAAGTTAAATAAATCAGACGTTAAATACGATTGCAAAACAACAGTTGGTCCACTTGTTTCGATATTGCAGATACAAAAAAATGCATCGATCTGTTACTTTACACTAATGTAGATACAATGAATTACATAATATGAAACAACATATGCCAATCGCACTGCAATTACACATGTTCAGTGGCAGAGTTGTCCAACTTAGTTATAGCAAAATGGCTAAAAAGTTTAACGACAAATCGAGCTGGTCAGCAGCTCTCACACTCATTCAAAACAAAGTCGCGCGAAATTCGCGTATAAACGGATTGGATGTTCGCGCAGGATCGGCAAGCAACGATGTCGTCAATGGAGCAACTGTCGCCGGAGAATGAGACGCTGGAGAGGCGGAATCTGAAGAGCATCCTGAAAAAGCTGTCGGCCAGCAGTAGGGCTGGCAGCTCGGAGACCTCGGTGACCAGTACGCCGGATCGCGAGGCTGTTACCGCTGAGCTGAAAAGGCTGATGAGAGCGCCGACGATCGAGGGCTACGCCGCACGGCATTCGAAGCTGTCCAAGAGCGTAACCTTCAACAAGTACACGCTACAGAGCCCGCCATCCGAGCAGGCGATCCTGCAGCCCAATTATCCGCTGTCCGAGGACCAGTCGCCACTGCCGCCGCCCAATAAACTCAGTTTCCGTCCTGTAGGCAGTGTCGGCATCCTGCAAATGGTGCCGAGGGAGGAGGATTGCCTGGACGAGCTGCTCTCTGGAATCAGCGAGGTCATTAAGGCGGGCTTGGTGAGTGCGATTTCACGCGATATCCCCTCGGTCTCCGTTTTCAATAGATGACCACTTTATTACTACTTGCACGCTCATACGTTTGCCCAACTAGTACTTTATTACGGGCCACTTGCTTTGGGACATAAGGATACGCGAAGAATACACAGCTCGACAGCGTCCGCGGAACGTGGGGATGCGAAATTATCGTATTCTCGGTGAAAAATAATACTACTTGTCACTTGTAATGACATAATGTTAATCACGTTAATTTCGCGCGAAGCTAGTATATAACGACTAAAATGTCAAATTTGAAATTCATGATTATTCGACGAAGAGGCGGCAGAGAAAGAGGAAACCATTATTCATTTTGTGACTTAAAATTGCGGCAATTAAAATCCGTCGTACATGTCCGTCGAAACTCGTGACACGCTAAATGTACACCTATCAAGGCTATTAATTATCCGACTATATACCCACCATAGGATTCTCATTACCGAACATGTACATGCGCCACGATTAATCACGCGTTGACGTTGTAGGAAAATATGCAGATTAAGTTCGAGCAGCAGTTCACGTCACTGGAGCTGGAGGTCCGTAAGCGCGATGAGATAATATCGCAGCTGCAGGCGCGGATCCAGGAGTTAGAGCGACGGGATGCGCCCGACGGCGGCGACGACGATTCAGGCGGCGACAGCACCGAGCACGATGCCTCGTTGGAGGAGGACCTTGACGACGATTGCGAGGACCATCCGTTTATGCGGGACAGTTCCGTGGACACCGTCCTTACCACCCGATCACAGGACCACCACTCGTCCTCGTCGCTGGGTTCGAATTCACGCGATAAAAGGTCGTGGGAGGAGCACTCGGAGAGGGAAACTCTGGAGCTGCAGGAGTTACCGAACTCGATAGTGCCACAGAAACTGTCATCGCAAGAAGACGTAGCGATCGATTTGGAATCGGACAGCGACAGCAGGTCGGACGAGTCGTTCGACGCTCGTCGGAGTCGCAAGGACGACAGTGAAAAGGATGACAGGGAAGATGATGAAGAGGGGGAGGAAGAGAACGAGGATGCTGACGAAGACGACGACGACGATGATGACGACGACGAATTAGACGACGACAAAATCGTGCGACAGGATGGCTACAACAACTGGGAAGTCGCCCTATTGGCGAAACAGCTCGAGGCGAGAAGAAGAAGCGGTGACAATGCCGGTAGCCCAGGTTCCTAGCGCATTAACGAAATTCTAGAAATATTATGTTACCTCACGAACACGATACGCTCCGACGGTTGGTGCAACCCATTAACTGGGCATGGTAGTGCAGCTTTTTGCGAACACGATCATTGCCCGTCATCGTATTCGCAATTAGACTTCGATAGTATGACTAGCCGTAGCGAGACTATGATGTAGTCTGGTCGCAGGGTAAGCCAAATAGAGTACGGATGCGCGGCCGTTGATATCGGATACTCTTTTTTCGGTATCACAATCGTCAGAAACGGAATCTCGCGAGTTTTTACAGAATAATGTTAAAGCGAACCTTTCACTATTACTACTACTTCTACTACCACTACTGTTAACACGTTCGCTACCAGGGTCTGAGAAGAAAACCTTGCAGTCCAGGGTATTTTTTGTTAGAATATGTCCTCAATTGACACGGGTCTTTTTAGAATATATTTATAACATAAAAATGTAATTATCTCTAGACCAAGGACATTCTACATCTGTTTTATTGTTTTTTACTTCAACAATACTGTTCATTTCCAAATTTATCGTAATACGTTATCATAAACTGATAAAGAACACGCACCGCACGGCGGTGGTAGCGAACATGTTAATTACTATTATCGCTGCTATTACTAGTATTACCCACACTACGCTTATTATTGTTTTTCTTCAAATGCCATTTCGATTGATACGTTCCTTTTCTTTCTTTCTACCTTATTTATAACTTGTCTTTGTATCCCGTAGCAACGTTGCCGCAGAGATATACTAAAGATGTGTGTACTTTTATACATTTCTTCGACCTGTTTATTTTCGTTTACGCGCTCGTTTGTTGATTATGTTATTTGCAGATACCTTCGTTCGCAGAGATGACCACCAGCTCGAATTGCTTCGTATCTTGCAAATACACATTTGTTGAATTGTAAATAATTCACAGGTGCCTGAGGAAATATTATACTTGAAATATGCAGAATTTATATACAAGGTGTCCCAAACCGTTCTCGGTTCCTGCGGTGTGCAGGTAAAACGGGTGAAACTGAGTAAAAAAGTACCACTTTGCAAAATTCGCAATAGTTAATGAGGAATTAAGTATTTTATCTGAACTAATGAACGCACTGGAAGCGGTAAGCCAGATTCTGTATATAAAAAAATGGCTTATTTCTGAAGACCTCCTAGCAACGATGAGTACCAACTGATAGTGAGAGACGTGTTTCTTTTCAGTGCACAGTTCTGTGTTACATGCCGCTCGCTATTTTACTCCGCCTTTAAAAATCAGTTAATGCTCATCGTTGCTAGGAGATCTTCAGAAGCAAGCTATTTTTCTTCATACAGTGTCCGGTTTACCCGTGTGTTCACGTTGACAATAATTAACTTTTCACTAACTATTGCGAATTTTGCAAAATGGTACATAATTTTTCCGTACAGTTTTACCCGTCCTATCTGCACACCACGGGAACTGAGAACGGTTCGGGACACCTTGTATAAACATCCTAATTGAACGTACAAGATAGAATAGACATGTACCAACAGCAAGGTTGCAATCTAGAGGGAGTTTCTTAATGATAAATTAGAAGCCTTTTCGGATGAAAATTGAAAACTAAGCTAAAATGTCAACAATAATATCCAAACTATCTATTAGATTCCATGCTGTCGATTCACCGGATTCACGTGTATCATTTGTTAGCAACGTGTGTATGCGTATATTCTCTTTTCAAATGTAAAATCGATACACTAAATTTCTTCAAGAATACAATCATGCTACTGGTATATACATGTATATCTTACATTTGTTCCAATATTCTTTAAATTAATGTAAAACTTTTTACAATTATTTTATCGATCTCCACATGTTTATTACTATTATTAATATAATCAAGTCTTTACAATTGCGCAAGTTAGCGTTCGAGCCACTGAAGAACATGGTAATTATTAGGTTATCCGTAGAGTTCTGAGAATTATTGAGGCACTGAAATCAAAATTTATTGGCACCGTTCCATCAATAATTAATCTATCACGTATTGTCCATTTTGATCTATTACTTTTTGCCATCTCTCCGGCAAAAAGAGAAAATTCCATACTCGTAGAATGACTTGGACCTTCCTCGAAAAATGCAGTTAGGTAGATTTTTTACTTCTTCCAATAAATTATTTTCTACCTCTCAAGGAGTGCTGTAATGTCCGGAACAAGTGACAGAAGAGACGATGTGGTAAATATAGTCCCATCCATATTTAATGAGTGTTCTGCTAATAAAACATGTGGCCTCGCATTATCATGCTGAGAGATGACGCTTTTTCTATTCACTAGTTCTGGGTGGCAAGGGTTTCCTTCAGATCAGCTAGTTGAGCGTAGTATTTGTCAGAATCAATCGTGTGGTTCTCTGGAAGGAATTCAAAGTGGACAACACCCTTGCGACTCAGATGCAAAGCATTCTTTGGGTGCAGCCTCCTCCTGTAAAGTCATTTGCGGAGGTTCAATCGATTTTTCCTATGATCGTGTCCTTGTCACACTACGGTAAAATACTCATTTTTCGTCGTCAACTGTCATCAACTGCTTCAAAAAAGGCTTCTTGGAATTTTTTCTTAAGAGTGCGTCACACTCGTCAACACAAGCGAAGTTGTGTTCGGTCAATGTGTGAAGAATTCAAGCATCGAAGTGACTTCATAACTCATACGTCTCAAATGCTTATGGAGCGTACCCTTGGGAAAGTTGAGGTTCTGTGAGAGTTCCAGCACTTTTCTGCGGGTTTTCATTGACTGCTTGCTTCAGATGGCCTTCGAGTAGCGTGGAAGGTCTTCCAGATTATTACGAAATCGCATGATTCATTGGCTGTTCGATATGACACAGCATTTTTCGCGTAAACGTCGCAAGTCTAGTCTTCATCGCGATGTTTCTCTTCCGAAAGCAAAAAAAGCGTTGCACAAATGAAGCTTTCGACTGTTTATATTCGCGACTAACATCGCCTACTCTGTTGGTCAACATTAGATCTGCACTTGAAAGAGGAAAGCGCCCACTTTCAAATGAGCCATCAGTCTCGGCCCTGCCGAGCAATTGGTCTCAAGCGCGTCAAATAGTAAGAATTCTCAGAAATTTTCGGATAATCCAATATAATTTTAAAATGAGAATATTTTTGGTTTTTCCGGTAATTTTACTCGGTGGTTAATTTATATTAATTTCAAACACACCAGGCTTAGAAACTCTTGTCCCGTCATTGAAATCGTATCGGATTATGAGAAGCGATATATCTTATGTGATTAAATTTTATAGTGTATATAGAGATAAATTAATTTTATTTATGCACTATCACTTAATATTTAGAGGAACAGTACTTGTGAGATGTATCGAAAAAATGTCCCTCTTTATTTCTAACAATTTTAAATTAATTTCATCACTGAGATATTAATTAAGTGTAATTTTAATTTTTCCTTAAGGGGATATGCTACAGTAAAGACACAGAAAAGTCCTTATTTTAAAATTAACATTGACAAAATCATGAGAAAAGAGGTTAGAAAAGAAGGTTCCGTATTAAATTAATTTTGCGACTATTTATTGATTGTTCGAGTAAAAGGAAAGTGGAACTGGGTGAGGCTTGGAATTAGGCCCGACAGATCGACCGGTCAGTGTGCATTCCAGTCCATTGCTCGCTTTCACTATACTCATACAACTCGGAAAGTACTTCGAATTTTATTAAAATCTTTTAAGAACACACACTTCTAAGATATGAATTTTTCGAAAAATGTAAAAAAGAAAAATCGATTTATTAAAAATGTTACTGTAACACCCTTAACGTCAAGTTTATCATGGATTTTAATTCAATTTCGTTAGAAATATAAGAAACAAATGTAGAATATATTATATTTATACCAAAGAGAAACAATCAAAATGTGAAAATGCTTCGATACATTTCATTAATTTACTCTTTATCGGATATGATTGATATGCAAAAAAAAAATAATTTAGCTCGACATATAATGTAAGAAACAAATTCGTATAATTTCTTGTCATTCTGCATCATAAAAAGTACAATGGCGAATCAGGAGCCTTAATTTTGTTCGAGTGTTATCCTTCCTCTTATTACGTAGAGTTCATTCATTCAATCATATTCTTAAAAAGCTGCACCACGAACGAACGAAGATATTAATCGGTTGTATGAAGCGTGGACGAATAAATAATGTTAGAAAAGGGAAAAACAGTGAAAGATAAACAGAGAGAGAGAGAGAGAGAGAGAGAGAGAGAGATAATAAATATAAATTTGAATCGACAAAACTTAATGAGAATATATTACGTACACTGACCAGACCAAGCTCAATATTTCTAGAGTCTTTACAAAATATGTCTACTAAGTGACAAATGACTATTAAGGTAATGAAAGAGAATTATTAAGATCTTGTACATATTATATAGCCTATAATTTATTTATCTATGAGCGAAAATGTGTGTGTATGTGTGTATGTGGACAAGTGAGTGCGAGAGAGTAGAACTACGGAGAAAGAAGTAGGAGATACGAGTATAGAGAAGTTAGTGCAAGAATGAATTTCACCGAACTACAAGAAGAGAAAGCATTTTAGACGCTGATATGTACCTATACGGAAGAAAGGAATATACAATAAAGCAAATGTTTTCAAACGTTGCGATTATTTTCTAAGAATACGTTCTTCCTTCTTGCCTATCCTTTTTGCCTAAGGATATTTGAACACTTCTTGAAACGTTGCGCAATTGTCTTGCTATATTCACTTATATCATCACAGGAATATCTTGATTTTGATATGGATCTTGGAATTGTTGACAGTTTCTTTAATATATCGGGTTGACGAGGCAGTCTTAGATTTTAGTTTGATGGATGTAATTCAGCCAAAGTATCACTCATATGTATATACATGGGTTTTTAGCACATTATTAAATATTTTTTCTAATAATATAATTAAATAATAATATAAAATAAATTATGTATAAGAGTAATTAATAATTCTAATCGAATTCCTATTTTTACCTTACGTCAAGTCAGGTAGAGTTTGCCGAACGTAAAGTCCGTATTCACACTTGGGATTATACTTGAGAATCGATTACAGATATTTAGGTTTTAGCCAGCTTTCACTGTGAGGTAACATCCTACGTGCGGCATGCATGACACTGCTTTTCACTTCAACTAATCGATGCTGCACATATAGTACGCTACCTCTCTGTGAAAGCAGATTGAAAGGCTAGCTTACACCGATTCTCAGGTAGAATCCCGATTATGAATGCGGGACACGAACGATTGTGTCGACGGGTTCCAATTCTGCTACATTTTTGCCTTCAACAGATGATACTGCAGATTGCATTCAATATTTGTCGTTTTTTTGGTGTCGTATCATGTACATGTGCAGGTCATACTTGTTTATGCCGCGTTTCTGTAACGTCGTAACGGCACGATATGCTCGAGTTTTGTTGCATTTGTACCGTCACGTCCTGACGGTACGATATCCTTGAATTCTGTTCCATTTCTGTTACATTGTGTTAGCAGACAATATTTGTAGAAATTAAACTTAATGCGGCCGCAGTGGATCAGAATCTGTCCCAAATGCGTGATTTTGGATCTGTTGGCACTATGCACTGTTATCATTTGGCTATCATAAATGCTAGCATAATGTTGTCATTTGGCTATCTGGATATATGTTAATATTCCGAATATTATTATAAACTATATATATTATAACTGTAATATAAATATATGTGTATATATATATTCGGAATATATATATATATATATATATATATATATATATATATATTCCGAATATTACTATAAATGAATTTTCCAATATTATATTTTCAAAACAAAACAGTTAATAATTCCGAAATTTTTATATAATGTATGTACAATAGTTTTTAACATCATAGTTTAACATATAGTTCTTCATTAAATTCTAAATGCAGTTTGGAAGAAATTAAAAATATAGAAAAAATAAGGCGCTAACCTAAAGGAACACGTATAAAAAAATATCAATTTTAGTTGTAATTGTCTTAGTTCTTGAAGCGGTCAGTCTTTTTCTAACTTCACGGATATACATGCAATATTTTCATTAATACGTAGCTGAAATTTAAAAGAATTCCTATGAAAAAAAAAATGATTTTACGGATAAACTACCTTGTAAATAGTAGTCTGGATCGTTAAATTAAATATTTCCCCTTCTTCCTATCGACTTTGGTGTGATCGATCTCTAGAGAACCTCTTTCTACTATTATAAACGCCTAAATTTAATTGGTTTAATTATTTTTTTTTAGAACGCGAAGGTTCGAAAATTTCAAGTAAGTCAGTTCCTCCTCCCAAAATAATGGTGTTGACAATTGAAATATACAGAATTCTACAGCTGCAGTTGCGTGTTCGATGCGTGATTATGATGCTTTTTATGCCTCGGTGGTGCGACTGGCGGACTGCCGTCTTGAGCCAACAATCTCCTCGCCATGAGCCATTTTTTGGCTCTGCCGGCGTGATAGTAGTACGTGTAAAGCAATGCCATAGCGGCCAGCACCACCAACAGACACGTACCAGCGATGACCATATTGAACAACCAGTATGGCCCGGATTTTGGTAACGGGCTCGTATCTATCGGCAATTTCCCCATAGTAGTGGTTGGCTGCTTCGGTAACTTCGGTGATAATGTTGTCTCGTTATTGCCGATAGCGATGTCGGCGCAAGCACGGAACTCCTCTTGAGGACCGCATCCAACCGCTCCTATATATTATTATTGCATATAACATCGACAAATTGGTAGTAAATGTACATATATACATACATGTACATGAGAATAATATATTTTCAGGTCTCTTCTCTGCGAACTCTGCCGCCAGTATTACCCAAGGTGTACACCACAAAGAAATTATGCGGTGGCAAAATATAGGTTTTTAGAGAAAAGAAAATATACTTCTGCTTCAAATTGTCATAATTCACATGATATTAATCATGTAATGATCTTTTAAAAGATATCAAGTTGAAGTCACAGTATGATATCATGCATTTCTATCCGGACGAATATACTTGAGTCTTACTGAGCAGCACCAACTATTTCTGTGAACTCTTGGTTTGATAATGACAGAACCAGCGTCGATTCGCAGACAATTTCGACCGGCTGTTGGAATACACTCGCATTTCAAGAACACTGCGTCCACACGTATTCCACAGTGACAATCAGCAGCATGGGAGAAGAATTTGTCTGTACCTGTGCCGTTGCCGCAATCGCCCCAATTGTTGCCTGCGATGTATCGCCACTGGAAAACACATTGGGCGCAAGTCAAGCCCTCTGGTAGTTTGTAATAGCTCTGAAAAATTCGGTTGCCAGGGCCGGGGTAGTAGCGGATGGATCCGTTCTCAGCGCGGAGTAGATGCTGGTCCAGGCAGTCCTGAGTGACCTCCCGGTCACGATAAGACATCGCGCATGTACGGAACTCGAAGTAGCCGTGATGGTTTGCCGTCAATTCTACGCGCACCGATATGATGGATCCGGTCCGGTAACGACGGACGATCACTCCGTTCCCATACTTGCCGCCAGTCTCGTGCAAACGCGGCTGGTAAGAATGAAGAAGAAAAGAAATAGTAGAATGGTGAGTTTATCGCGTGTTCTTCTCTAATCTATTTATCAGATTGGTTCTACATATACATAGATATATCTATCGCATGTTAGAGGTGAGAAGTCAAGTATCGATTTCTTTAGAAAAAGATTCTTTGGATTTAATAAATTTTGTTGCATCCAAACAAATTTCATCATTGGTATGGTCCAAAGAAACTAATGTTTCGGCCAATAAGCACGATTGTTAAGTTTTTTCAAAGAATGTGTATCTTAGTATCAAATAAAAAATTTGTTTGAAACTGAGACTTCAGCAGCTTCACCTTACTGCTCTGCCATGCGCTGTTTGGAGATTCAATCTTGTTATACTGGCATATGTGTGAAATCTTTTATCGTTAATAACTTTAGTGTTTTCAGTGGCTGGCCATCTACACATAATATTTTACATTTATACTTGGAAGTTGTTTTAATGAAACAAATTCTAATCAAATAAATAGGAATACTAAATCTAAAGAAATCTTTTTTTCAATGTGCAGTCATAAAAGTCGTAGAACGTATAGACGTTTCAAGATTTCAAAGTTCTTGGAACTCAATTATAAATTTCATTTTTAGATTATTAAAATATCGATTAATATATAACATAATTAACGTGATATATATGTCATGTTTAAATATCGAGTAAAAAATTGTATTAAATGACGTAAGTATTGACGAGCAAAAATAGGAAAGAAAAGGATTTCATTTCCATTTCGGGCTACTTTCGCTCGTAAAATATTTCGCAACCGTGCCGGATAACGGATACACATATCAAGGTCAAATACCTCACATAAAATGCTCCGCAGCAAAAACGCGTTCGGTCGATTACAGAGACACGAAACAGACTCAAAAACGTCATGTAAAATGCGATTAATAATTACTGTTAAGTTAAGAAAGTTGTTTTTTATCTGTCTGTACGTGGTTCTATAGCCCAGCTTAAATGCTTGATACAAGAGTTGAGATTCGAAATTTTCGATTTTGCTTTTTTCGACTTGCTATCGTTCATCTTATCTGACTGACAAAGAACCAACATATTTGTTTGCGACTCTTTCATTTTTTAAATAAAACTTACCGTTGGGGAATCCCAGGGATCTCCGCAAATACCGCATTCCCCTTTGTTCCGCTGCCACTGCCTGGTGAAACCGCCGCAATAGCACTCGTGGTCGTTGTAATCATGTGGTGTGTCAAAGCCGTACCTCCACATGGAGGCCCGCGATGGTGGCTCTATCAGTCTTCCATGGGCAGAAACTTTTCTAACGACTAGCACATTTACGATTAACGTCAGACTAAGCGTAAAGTGGCGCATGTTGGTTGCGCGAGATGAGACCGGCTTCTGCAAAAAGATTTGTGTCTTCTAGACACGCCGAATAAACATGGTACAATCGGTCGATCACACAGGTCGACAAATTTTGACATTTGCTCCGATCTCCAGACCTGTACAGATGATCCCGAAGATTTTCCGCATTCCTAAAACCAAATCCGTTGCTCAAACTGCTCTATCACATCGGGTTTTCCGAAATATTGTAACCCAGAAGTGCCAAGAAGGCCGCTTTTTATCATTTTTAGATTAGAATAAAATCGGAAACGAGAAGTGACAGCCCAATTTAGCCAGTGGATTTGAGCTTAACACGAAAAATCTACTAAAATCAATTGATACATTCAATAAATTAGAAAACAAGTACTTCGTGTACCTGTGATAAATTTTTGTGCTTTTAGCACTGAATGCATTTCTACCAGGGATAATTGACTACAACTTTCTTAATTGCACCTATTACTACAGTGTAATTTATTTATCAGAAGAAACCGATAATATTTCAAGACGAAAGAATGCAAAGTTACAAATCATTGACAATTCCGATGCAGCTAAGAGTTCCGTACGATTTTTCTAGCTTCTTCGTAAATAGATCGATCTGCGTTCCTTGTCTCCGATTTAAAAGGAATGATGCACTAGTTGCGATCGCAAATGAAAAATTGACGCCCCATTGCACGTTCGAGTCACATATTCTTCACACTTACCAGTTAAGAGAATGTAAGAGAAGCGAAGGCCCCGCTTTCCTGCGATACTATTCTCAGGCATCGGCCACGACGGTGAGTCAGACTCGTGCGGTGAACAGGGACCTCGGAACCGGTCGCGCGATGACTGAACTCGACTGCGCCTCTGGAACCAACCAAGCACACTCCGATGCTGATCGGCGGTGTGGGAGTAGGTTATTAGAACGAAGTGCTCCTTTACGTTCACAGCACGATCTGATATCAGGTGAAAGACCCGGTGTACAAATAGTTCCAGGACACTTTTCACACAAATTCGACACAAATAGTCCAATTTAATTATTATCCAGAAACATTAAACCTACTGCGTGTGTGAGATCCAAATTTGCACAATTTTGACCTGATGTCGCCGTTTGGCATTACGAAACTTCAGGGAGTACATGTTTTTCTTTTAATTAAGAATTTATATCAAGACTTAACGTTCAAAAATAAAATATCGAAATTATAATATGTGAAATATATATTTTAAAGATTAAAATGTATATGAATGTATTTTAAGAAATATATACACAAAAAAATTGAATATATGAAATATAGTTTTTATAAAAAAGATACTAGAAATAGACAAATATTTGTGTAAAGATAGTAAGAAATTTGACGTGCAAGGCTTTGCTTTTATAAACATTAAATTTCAACAGAAAATGTAGATTTTTATATTAAATGAGAAAAATTGAGAGAGAGAGACAGAGAGAGAGAGAGAGAGAGAGACAACAAGAAAAAAACTAATAAAAGAAAGCAAATATTCTAAATTTTAATAAATCGTAAGTTTCCCTACAACTATAAATATGTTTTTTTATTAAGTAATTATATGTAGAAATTGAATTACAATTAAATATATAATTGTAAATTACAATTTACAATTATTTATTTATTAAAAAAAAAAATTCTTCTATTAAGTAAATTATTTATTAAATATAAAAAGTATTTTATACAACATGTTAAAAAATGTTTCATATATAATTTATATATAAAGCGTCATATATGTGTGAAATTTATATATATATATATTTATGTATATATATTGCTGACTAAAATCTCGGGAACTTCATATATCAGCTATAATTAGCATCCAACTCATATATCCAAGGACACGGTATAACGACAAGACTTTTCCTATTTCTCAATGAAAGGCGCCTTTCACGAATCTTTCTTGCTGTCGACGTAACGAAAGCATTCGTGCACGTAAATGCATTCGCGCGAATAAACACGTGTCGTATAGTGGCTGCACTTTCGCGAGACGCCACTAGAAATTGAGCGGAAAGTGTTCTTCCGCAGTTTGCTGCTATGCGGCGAAATCGGTCAGGTGTTAGGTTGTCGGAAGATACAAATCGACAAGTACGTCACGACTATTCGAGCACCGCCCGTAAGATTCTCTCTTTTGATTTCTAACCGATGTCTCTGGTTTGATCGATATGCTCCTTGAACATTCGATTCCTTCGTTTATTGTCGGCACAACATGCAAAATATTCATGTGATACTCCGGATAAACCTGTATTTATGCATACTGAACATATAGATACTAATGCTAACTTTGAAGTTAATCCTTATATTACTTAAAAGTATATTTATATAATCAATTTTATAGTGTTTATAATACTTGTAGATGTTTCGGTAAAGCTTTTATTTATTCTTTCAATGGTAAATTTCGACTTCTGACATGGCCGAAAATGGAACATTTGTCAACGGAATGAATATTATTACGATTTACGACCTATGCCTTTTCTTTATACAGAACATCACTGCATTGTGTGAATCGGCTCGCATCTGTATCGTCACAGAAGAAAAACTTTCCCACAACAACGGCAGAAATTGAGCGGAAAGTACTGCACGCTGCAATGGTCAGTGCCAAAGTACAAATATTCTAGGAAGGAAGAGAATTCTCGCTTGCCTACCTCCTGAAGTTTTTTTATGAGTTTCTAATCGGGATCCAACCGCTGTACACTTTGGATCATACTAATGTCGGCGGTATCTGAACTTTGCCAACTCATATCTCGGAAAATATTTAATCAAAAAGAGTTTCATTGTAGTGTTTTTGAAAATATCTTAATGTCAGCTACAAGAATACTGAATAAAAAATATAGGGGTTTCCATAAAAAATTTTTCAGTTGACTTTGAGAGCTCCTCCATACTTGCCCTGAAGATCAAATAAATATCGCTGTTTGACGCATTTGTTGAAACCCTGCAACTTTTTTATGAAACAGTTTTTTCTCAAATGTCTTGTTTTTCACATATTTCACTGAACCGATATTTTTTAGTCACCCTGTATAGGCCGGTCTACACAGTCAGACATTATGTTTAGGATCGTTTTAAATGCATTTTCATGCTTTGTAGCCGATGAAATGAAGAAAAGGGATTTTTTATGGAAAAACGGATTTTTTTATGTATGATGGATTTTCATGGGTCTGGTAGGTATATTCTATGTATATATGGTTATCTGTTGTAAAAATTTGGTGCATATATCTTTATTAATAAAAAGATATGAGCGTTAAAAGGATATGCTATAAAAGAAACACATTCTGTGCAGTGTGCAGAATATTTCAGCTTTGGATATTCTGAAACAGAAATTTCAGAAAGTTTTCATTAATAAATAATTGGAGAAAGGAATAAAGCTCGGCGAAGGTCGAAAAGTGAAAAATAATAAAATGGTATCGGTTTAGTGTCAAAAGTCGGATTTTCCCCTAAGAAATGGGCCAAGAAAATAATTATTGGGAGTACAAATTAGTTCGGTCCGTTTTCAAAAGATGGCTCTGGCTGTTATGAATGTTTCATAGTGACAGCTGATTTCGGTGATTTCAGAGGTTAGACATCTGTCAATAATATTCAGTTTGTATCGCTTTGAGTTTCATACAAAATACCCTGTTTTTTACTGTGTTGAATATGTCAAATTTTGTGTTAACTAAGCAGCATTTGCGGGAAGTTTTAGTTTTCTGCTTTAATTGGAAGAAAAGTGCAGCTGAAGCGCATCGAATGCTTGTAGAAGTTTATGATGACAATGCTCCAACTGATAAATCATGTAGGGAATGGTTTCGACGTTTTGAGAATGGTGATTTCAGCGTTGAAGACAAGCCTCGCTCTGGACAGTCAAAAGAATTCGAAGACAAAGAATTACTCGATGAAGATCCGAGTGATTCCATTACGGGCCATCGGTACAGGCTACAATTGATTCGTTTGAGCCGTGCATTACGAGAAAAACGGCCGGAATACGAACAAAGACATGACAAAGTTATTCTTTTGCATGATAACGCTCGGCCTTATGTCGCAAAAGTCGTAAAAAATTATTTGGAAACGCCCAAGTGGGATATTTTACCGCACCCGCCGGACATTGCTCCTTCTGATTACTGGTTGTTCCGACGGATGCAGCACGATTTGGCAGGTCACCGGTTCACTTCTTTCGCAGAAATCGAAATTTGGCTCCTAACTTGGATCGCCTCAAAAGACGAGACATTTTTTCGAGATGGAATTCGAAAATTGCCTGAGAGGTGAGAAAAAGTAGCAGCCAGTGATGGACAATACTTTGATTAATCTGTTCATTCATTTTGTTCTGAAATAAATGCATTTTTGACCACAAAAACGGACTGAACTAATTTGTACTCCCAATAATTTTTGGAATATGAGAAAATCCGAGGTTCATGTCCAAAATAAAGTATATTGAAAGTGCATGTAAAGATAGAAAGCAATCGGTGAAATAGTTTTCTCACAATCTTGCAGACAATTTTTGAAAAACGTATCTCGCGAAAAACGCATTCAAAGAATTATTTTTAAGAAATTGCGAATATTAGTTATTCTTACCTAATCAGTTACTTCGAGGTCATACAAGAAACCTTCTATTTCCTCGTATAAATTATTTTTTGTTGATCTGCTATTTGTTACTTGCACGAGTTGTTCTTGTTTCGTGCAACGTGCTGGAATGCCGGCGCGATGCATCCTTTAAACGCTTTTCGTCGCGGTTGAGAGCAAAATTCCCCTCTCTCTAGTCCAGTTTTAATCCCTAATACGTTGAAAATGTTCAAAATTATAATGTACTTTTCTTTAAAAAGTACCACTACTAAATGTGTTGCGGTTTCTATTGCTTTTGCACCGCAATACAAATATTTTAGTACAATATGCCATATGACTGAGTTGAAAAACTTTCGTTATTATTTTGGATATGCTCTCCTACGCATTTTTCCAGTAAATCATCTCACGACAGAGTTTCGTAAATAGACTTCAAAACAGACTGTAGATTTATTGCATTTGTAAAATTTTTTTTCCAGCGTCCTAGTATTATTATTTTAAATTAAAATAATTTCTCTCTTTTCTGTGTATTTGTAAGAGATGAGTATATTTAAATATCTAAACAGATAAATTTTTGTTGATGAATTATGATTGTACATTAAAGGTTTGAACAATTAAAAACCAATAAATGATTAGTAATCTATGATATCTCAATTGTATGTCCCTTTTCTGTACACGATAAATCTCATAATTATGTTAAATGAGATCGATCTGTATAACCTGAAAATAAATTTTATAATAATTAAGTGAATATATGTATTCACATTACACATCATACCGTGTATAAACGTTTCAATATTGTGTAACAATATTAAATGATATTTTGAAGTGAAATTTTTTATTTCAAAATATTACATTTAAGTTAAATATAAATTAAGATATAACATACATATAAATAATAATATATAAATAATACATATATATAAATTAAAATAAACTCGTGATAGAGTTTATGCTTTTGTGTAATTATATTGGAACTATAATTGCGTAATTATACAAATTANGATTGTCAATAACTGTCAGTAACAGTGGTTTAACGCAATTACATAGTAAACATATTTTAAGACTTAATAAGAACCTGCTTTACAGAACATATTATATAGCGTCCTTTAATAAATGTTTACAATACTTTTACGATAACAAAATTATTTACTTTCTATTCTTTTTTATTTTTTTTTTCACAATAAAGGTATTTGCAAATTTCAGGAATATCCTGATAAAAAGTACAATATAAATTCGAAAGGTTTTAAACATGTAAATGCTAGAATAAAAAACAGATCATAATACGATCTGATTTCTAGTGAAGTAAAGGAGACGTTATTAATTGATTAAAATTTTTGCATATCTTCAATGTGTTCCAAACCATTTTTCCTCTTAAGAGACCAGACCAATAATGTAACGGTCTAAAAAAATCGAATTTTTTTTTGCATCTTTCATAACTTTATAATCTTAAAAATAATCTTAAAAATACATCTCTAGAGTATTTTTATCAAATTCCTGAAAAGTACTGTGATATGCAACTTTGAAATACGGTAGTGTACACGCGAAGCGAGAACGCGCGGGCTGAGGCTTGCCGTGTATGAGGGTGGTTTGATATTAAGGGCAACAGTTTTAGTAACCGTAGAGTTTATTTTATTTTTCAACATAATCCCCTGGAAGCTCAACACACGCTTAATTCCTAAAAATACGCTTTTTTTTTTAGAGCTTTACATTGATCTGATCCTTTAACGTATTTTTAAAACTACGTTGTGTATTAGCAAAAAAATATAGACTATTAATCGAGTCAACCGAGTCATATGTATCGAAAAGTGAAATTATATTTATATAAAGTGGATGGATATTTGTAATATTAACAAGAAATATTGTATACATATGTATATAGGGTATCCCAGTTTTCGCGGTTTTAATCGATGATAGTTTCTTGAGCTCAAATAGAGATGAAAATTGTTAGGTGTATTAATTAAAGCTGCGAGAATTGGGACAACCTAAATGTACGTATATTATGTACGTCATAGATTATAACGTGCACAAGTTAAAATGAGAATTATTCTTGATAAGTCTGTAGAAGGAGGACATTAATCTTTAAATCTTATTGATTTCGATACACTACAGATTTTTGAGTTGAAGAAAATTAATCGAACAACCATGTTGCTCTGCTTCTCGAGCAGAGAATGCTGCACAGTAAAAATGGTTGATCGGATTATCACAGATACTACGAACGATTAATTGTTAAAAAATAACAGATGCATATGACTCTGGCCTGACAGAGTGCTAAGGAATACTCTCGTAATAACGTACACCTATTCGTTTTAGAGAGATAAAAGTTACAAGACGAGAAACAACGATCGATTTGTATTACAATAAACATAATGTAAAAATTGTTTTTCTCTGATTTTTTTGTCGTTGCGAATTAGAGATATACATTCACAATCAGTCGCAATACACGTGATGTTAATAAACATACTGAGTCACTGAGTGTCACAAACATCGTTCTCTCTGTATAATATTGACTTAAAAAAATTTTCGCACGGATATCACCGATATATGTTCAAGGATACAGAAGTAACTAATCTTTTAACGCCTTTAAAATACGAAATACTCATGTAAATGACATATCTACGATTATGAAACTCAATTACTCTATCTGTGAAAAACCATATTCCATATTAAGAATTATTCATTGCGTTGTAATTGGTTAGGATTAATAGTGATAACTTGTGTAAGTACGCAGTACAAATTCACAGATAATGGTAGTGAGATATATATATATATATATATATGTTACAATACTTGCATCGTGTTAACAAGTAAGTCTACAAGTTTATAAATGCAAGAAGATTCCCTACGGGAAAAATAGGGAAGGAAATAGGGTAGAAAATTCTTTCGAGATTTCTACGGCTTCATCGTCGAACTGGCTTCTTGAAAATATCTTAATAGGTAGTAGTAAGTTATAAAGAGAGTGCGTATAATCGTTACTACGCCTAATTCGAAGATAGTACACGTATTAAATACGCATCTACGTCTTAAGGCAATAGTGTTTCTGACTTCACTAATCTTTTAGAACACTATCTTTATACATTCAGCACTTTTTTGTTCCTCATTTTCTTTCATATTACATTCATTTTATGTGAAATTAGAAAATATTGGGGACGGTCTGTGCTTCGAGGAAAATATTAAGCAATATAAATACACAAATATGTCTGTGTTTCTTAATTTACTGTGCGGGATTATCTTAGGAAGTTCGCACACAGTTCATTTACGATACTTTTCAATTACATGTTACGTATTACTATATATATTGCATTCGAGGCGAAAATTGTTAACTTATATAGAAAGAAATAGACAATTGTACGTGCGCACGCACCCACGCACGCGCGTGCACACACACACGTGCGTATGTGTGTGTGTGAATTTTAAGGTTACACATTCTCTCTAAAGTACAATCAATGTATTATCATTGAAAAAATCAATAGTTACTGATAGTTAAAGTTATAACATTACAAATCAATAAACCTTCGCTAAAAAAAGTCTGTTAATAACAGCGACTGTTTTCTTTAAGGGAATCTGATACATATATAATGTAGACATTAGCAGCGGTATTACATAGTGAGAAAAGAAATATGTCATATGTGTTTTAAAATCCTCTCTATTACTCAAGATTTTTGGAATGAAGACAAGATTGTCGTCCCCGAGATATCAACAATCGACGTAAAAGCATAAATGTCTAACTTAAAACTAGGTATAAATACGCACAAAGATCTCATGCTAAGCTTGTATTTGTTCTAATTTTACGCAATTTTGCATTTCGCAAAGCGCTTCGGTCGATATACAAAAACAAAATCTTCAATAAACCATTGTCCTCAGAATGGTGTAAAAAAATGTATACATATAACTTTGATGATGATGAAAATATACATAAATATATTTATGCCTGTGTATGTTCAAAGCTTCAATATTCGTTCAGATCCGGCACTATTCGGATATATGATATAGCGGACAAATGTAATGCTCCAAATTCGGATTATCCGGGGATTAGATTTCCCAAGATATCCGAATAGTTGAAGCAGTGAGTCCGAACCCGGTCAAATCTAAATTTATAACAAAATCAACTTTATATATATTAGATTGTTCAAAAAGTTCGTTTTAAATTTCGCATGATCCACGTTGCTATAGTAATCAGTGAGAGCGACGGCGCTCAAAATAATTATTTTTTTCTCACGTTACATGCAAATAGTTCGAATTATCCGCATAACGCGGTTTTGAGTTTTTAGATCACATTCCGAACCGATCTCGAATATCCGAATACTTGGAAACCTTAATGTATGCGTGTGCGTTTATTAAAATTGTAGCCATTCAATTAATGCACTACTGGGATTTTAATCTCACTTAAATCAATATATTCAAAATGGTGACTAACAAACGACCGGGGATATACCAGTCACTCTTTCAATCTGTTAACGTCACTATTCTCTCCATGAGCCAGTGCATAAATTGGCCCCATTGCCACGTTTATGGCACAAGTTAAATAAGCTATTTGTCAACGATAGCTGCTGATTTCCATTTTCAAAGAGACATCAATGTTTGAAATCGTTGAGATTTAGAAATTATGTGCTTAAAAAAATAATACATGGCAAACGTCAATTATGTTAATTTTATTGGAAATTCCCGAAGGAAATGTTAAAATATGTCATATATCTCTGTTTCTGCCTCTATTTGTCTTTCTTCTCGTCCTTCTCATTTTCTATGTTATGGGTTTATGGTATTATTTGTTGCTAGATTGTTGCTAGTTAACTAGATCACACATGCAGGATGAGTTACGAATGTAGCAAACATAATTCTGGCTACGCTCAAATTTTTATTTTGCATTTCGCGAAAATTATGCGTGAAGTTTCTAAATGATTCCTAAGCAAATAAGGGGCGACTTTCTGGAAGATGCGTGACAAACTGTTTTATTTCAATTGCGACGATTTGTGTCCCACAATCTTATTGCGCAATAAATTAAAGTGTCCGTGCACCTGCGTAAGCTGAGCTTTAAGTGAATCAGAAAGCTGTTTCTGTAACTGTTGAACCTCCAAAATTTCTTGACGAAGATTTTGATAATCTTTCGTTACTTGATGGACAGAGTGTAATAGGCGAAGCACAGATATCTGTTGGAAGCACAAAATGAAAAGCAGTTTGATGATTGAAAATACAAAAACATCGCAGACAATAAAGTGCACACAAAAGAAAAAGTTCTTGAATGTGATGTCATTTGTAACATTTTTAATGCCAAATGGAATGGATATAGGGATCCTGGTTTTAAGCAGGAATTGTCCTATGAACGCTATATAATGTTGCTTGTTTGATACATTATCACAGTGGACTTATATTGCGCAGGTACAATTACAAATTTGTCCTTTTTAGTTGCACTTTTCGTATATTCTGAGTTTATTGGTGTGAATTTGTTTCCTTTTTACTTAAACTTGATAAAATATACAAGCAAGATATATAAAGAAGTAAACTATAAAAATAAATACTAATTAAGGTTAACTGAGTATACAAAGTATTGAAAAAGAATGGTAACAAATTTTAGGAGTGTGTGGTATACATGAAAAAACTAAAAGGTTTAAATAAGCAGTTACATATCGATTACCATTTCTATGTTCAATTTTAAAACAATAAATTGTTGACAGTCAGTTGCCAGCTTTTGTATTGTGTATTCACAGCAGAAAATGTTTTATAACTTGGAAATAAATGGTTTTTGGAATATTATATATTAAGACTTTTTGTTTGTTTTCACAAGTGCAACATACTCCTAAAATTTCATGCCACCTTTTTTCAACACCCTGTATATTTTTAAATTTCCATGAATTTTATAGAATATAGAAAGGATTGATCACCACTCAATTTGAATTGTAGAGAACATCCTAGATTTAACAAGCGGCTTTTCTACCAAAGACTTTTAAACAGCTAGATTTTAAACCAATTGGAAGCTTTTTAAGAAACATTTACAACGTTTACAAACATTATAAATATTCGATATTTGACATTAAATACTTCTAAAATTAATAATTAAGACTAACTAAGATTTATATAGTATCTTTTATATAAAACCTAGTATACATGATTACATTTCTAATCTCTTACAACTCAAACATCATCAAAGCTCCATCATTTTGATACAAGATTTTATATAATCTCCAATTAAGGAAATCTTAAAAAAGTCGGATATTACTAATTAATTCCGAATGGAATACAGCTAAAAAGAACAGACTCAACATTGTGCGACCATGATGACTACTACCGCGAAAAGCTCAAAACGGAAAACCTACCTCATTCTCCGGGTCCTCGAAAGCTTTCTCGAAAGCGTCTATTTGCCAGGCGATCATATCTAGCTTCCCGTCGGCTTTTTGAACCTAAGACACGATAAACAGAACAACTTTATATAAAAGTGACAGTTTGATGGTTATGTCAGGCGGCAATGGTGCTTGTTGCATTGACTTGAAATATGAGTTATCTTTTACGAGAATGTGACATTACACACACGAAATAATACACACACTTTGCTCGAGATGCCCAATCGCGGACTCCATGGCTTCTATATTTCAAAATAATTTGCGTCCCAAGAACGCATAAAGTAAATCGTTGCGAAGTATTAAGCAAAGTAGCTGTTGTTTGACCACACCAGGATCGATTTGCATCTTGCCGAGAGATGACTCTGGTATGGAAACTGAAATAGAGTCCACAGCAGGGATGGGAAAAATCACTGAAAAATATCTATATTCGCTCATTGAAGATGGTATTACATCTAGAAAATATTAGGGACTCTAGAAATTCTCTATCCGATAGCCAATCGACATACTCGACAAATTTGTACGACGTCTCTTCGAGCATGGCTGGGTACTTAAAAGACATTCAGTGTAAATAGCAGAAATATGAGCAGAGTTTCGGGTAACCCACGATTAATGTATTACAGTTGTGAAGAATAATAAAAATACTAAATTATATTTTTGACTTTATTCCAAATATTTTAAATTTGTCGAGTCACTACTGTGTTATCAAGAAACAGTAACAGAGACAAATTTATATAATCTATCTATCTATCTATCTCTCTATTCTCATTTACATTTAGTCCACCGTATAAGGAGTAATAAAAGATGCATTGACTATTGCAACATAAGAGATGTTTAAAGATATTGTACGCCAATTCCAAATTGAAATTGTTGAAGCACATCGCTCCTCATGAACATCAATGGTGCAATTAGATTCAATTCTATACGAGCAACATTTCCTAATTTCATCGCAAGACCCCCACCAACGGCCAGGCGGACATTTTCTGTGAAAATCCTCAAATTTTCACTGTAAATATTACCTGCAAATTTTTAGACACGTAAAATACATTGAATATACCAACTAAAACTTTGAAATGATATAAAGGTTAATATGAAAATTTTATTCTGATATCCTACTTAGCACTGATAAACTTATTTTATGCTAAAATAAATGATATACATAATTTGGTTTTCATATAAAAGAGAATGTAAATAATATCATTATATAACTTGTCTGTTAAACTCTCATTGTAAATAAGAATTTCCATTCTAAATAAATGCAATAATCATGTAATTATTAATACATTTTTCCATTTTTCAATTATTGGTAAATTTCACTTTCTCAAAACCTCATTCCATTCCATGTCGAAAAAATATATATAATTACATTTTAGATAAATTCACATCAAAATCTCTTTATTTCTTCACTATTACTAAAGAGAAAGTTAAATAGGATCTATATTTAATGATAAAAAATAGACGATGATATAATTATTAAATCATTTCACTCACCGTATTTAAAGGAGAAATTAGACAGATTACCAGCATTCATAAAACCATGTAACCTAAATAAATCTCCGAAACTATTACGACCGGGTCTGAACGGAAGTGGTGTATATATATGAAGTGCGGCTGCCCAATACATCTCACCGCCTACAGAATTTCCGTCGTAACGAGGACCGCAACCTCTCATGTCAAATCCTCGGAGATTCAGTGGACCACCCAGAAAGAAATGGTCGGCAATACTTATTTTCAAGTCATTACTAATTGTGTTCAATAACCCACATTGAAAACCTAGCTGAAATGTCTGTTCAAATACAATAAATTTTACCATGAATCAAATGTCGGTTTTTGTCTATTGCGAACACAAAATTAAATCGTTCAATTAACTATGTAAATAAGAAGATACGCTTTTTAAATAGTTTTATCGGTTAATCTACAGATATCTGCTACGTTATAATTCTAAAAGTAAAATGCCGTGATCTCCTTTTTATTATTATATGATTATATTTCTAACCTAATGATGCCATGATTATATATCTAAACTAATTAGCCATACTTCCATATCACTATTTGCTTTCATAATGAAATTTGTGTAACATAGATAATATAGTATCAATTGCTATTCATCGTTGCTAAGAAATCTTTAGAAGCAAACCTTTTTTTTTTATATAGAATTCTTTATATGAATAATCTTACTCTTTATACAGACCTAGTCTCCCCTATTCTGTAAGAAATAGCACGATACAAGTATAAATACTTACAAGATATTCATGTGGTGACCAGTTACTCTGTATAGCAAATTCGTTCTTGAAGAAACCTATATCACCACCCAGTCCGGCCATTTCTGTTGTTAACCGCATAAAACTCCCGGCAACAGGAAATATAGGAGAATTTCTTTTATCTATTGTCCAAATGTATCTTAAGGCAGATTTAAGATTCGGTCCACATTGTTCCCGGACACGAAAAGTCGCTTGTTTCGAGCAAGTTATATTTCTAAATGCAGCTTCGTATTGTATGTTGTGCTTAAATGCGCTTGTCGGATTGAGCTCCACATCAAAAAGCAATCCTTTATCATTTTGTTTAAAACCAGACCACGGAAAATCGTTTGTGCTATTGAATATAGTGCCAGTTAATCTGTAAGACAATCCAGTAATTAATATAAAACACAAATTTAATAACATTGTATTAAAATCATAAAATGAATACAAATGAGAATATGTTAACTCACGCTGCGTTATATAAGCTTCGTGGGAACGGTTTGAAGGCAGATATATTAAAATTAATTGAACTTTTAGTACCATGAGAATACTCCATTTGAACACGTTCTCCTCTCCCACAGAGATTCGGCGCTTTCGCGCTGACCATTAAAGATCCCTCGTTGTTTCCAACCATTGTATTAACGCCACCAACTAAGCGTCTCATCTCACGTACTTTAAAAGTGACCTAATTACAATAAACAATTCAATAAATATTATAATTATTATGTATCATATAATAGGATATGTAACGACAAAACTGCGATACATTTAAGTTTAAAAATTACTTATTCTTTGTCGAATTAATGTGTAATTATATAGACCCACTTCGACACCATCAGGAGTAGCTTCGGGACCTTGACTTGTATCAATGTAAATTCCGATACGTCTAAAACATCCTAAAGCTTCCAGTTTTTCATGTATTTTATAAGCACGTATAATAACATCCTGAAAATCTTTAGCTTTGAATAAGTCCATCACTTGTGACTTTACTATATCATCTTTGGTCCTCATAAGGCCGTCCACGTGAACCTTGTCAACTCGCGCCTGCCATAATAAAATGCTATTAGATATTTTTGTGATATTATAACATGAATGACATCTGAGCAGCTTATGAGCCTGCATTTGCATTTATTCTTGTCCTCACATCATGACTATTGTGAATATAAAATTAAGTCAGGTTGAATACATTTTGCTATCTGAGAAAAAACATCCTTTTCTACTATTAAGTCATCAGAAATTTTTGCACTGTCCTCTTTGATAATAAAATATTGAGTTGTAACAGGTTATGTGACTTTTACATATTCTTTTCATCAGTATATACTATTATAATTAACAGTATATACTATTCTACATCATAAACCTGCAACTCTTATATTCATATGTACTTACTTAAGTTGATATTAATATTTAATCTTTTCACTATTCCAGATAAAATTGTTATAATTACAATTCATATACTTTCCTTTTGAGATAATAAAATTTGTTCAACATACTTTTATTCCATGTAGATCAATAGATTTTGTTTGCAAATTTTCTTCTTCTCTAGGTAATCGAGATTTATTACTGAAAATTGTTTGCTGAAAATAAATTCAAAGTAAATTTAAAGAAGTAAAGTTTATTAAAATTTTCATAAATATATAAATAAACTAAATATTACAATATAATATAGAGGTAAGTTAAACTAAATTGTTATATAAAGTATAAACATACAAGATCTTCCATTGCATCAGTTGATGATTTTGTAGATTCATTTGTAAAGATTTTTTTTTTAGATGACTGATTTAAATCTACAGGGTTACTAGATTCCTAATGAAAAAAACACATGTTTATTAGATTATATTTATACATAAAACATATATAGAACATTTCTTCAAATAAAATCGAGAGTATACAAATTGTATGAATTTACGGTGATATTATTGTTGATTATCTATGTAATCTATATAATTATATAAATTCAGGTAAGAGAATTATCATATATTAAAGATTATTCACACCAAAGATTGTACAGGTTTTTAGGTTATAAAGAAACTTTTAATAAAAGTACAAACCTTAGCATAAACAACGCCCATTATCTCGTAAATAAATTTTTCCTTCCGTAATGATCTTCGCGTTAAAATTTCATGCCAAAACTAGTACCCTACAAGACGTTTCAATACGATGAGATATGACAGAAAATTTTTTTATTTAAATGTAGAACATTTATATATACATATCCCACACAGAGTGCGTAACGCACAAAAAATGTACATGAGCAAATGCTTCACAGTTTATTTCAGTTCCGTCTTATGGCCGGGATAGAACATGAACGTATAAATTGGTCTGTTCTTTTTAGCTGCATTGCTGTGATTGGTACGGGAAGTTAGAGCGAGACAAAATATACTTATCTCGTTCTAACTTATCGCGTCAGTTCAGCAGTACAGTTAAAAAAAATAGTACAGCTAAAAGCAATGTACCAAATATCTGGGGGAGACGACCGACACTGCGGCGAAACGGGAGATCAGCGGGTTTATTTTTTACTGCTATATTGGCTGCATTAGTTCTCTTTTCCTCTTTCCCACCAAATCTTAAGAAAGAGAGGAAACAAGAACCGGTGCAACTAATGCAATCAGTGCAGCAATAGAAAACGAAATCTACATAGAACTCTAGTGCAGCCAGTTGAACTAAAAAGAACGGACCAACTAACTAGCTTTAACCGGCGCAGTACTGATGATTGAATTCGTTATAAATAATAAGGCATGTTGGTTATGGCTTCGTCTATGAATTTTGATTTAAAGGAAAGATTAGATATTAATTTCACAGATATAGCCACGCTGAATGTACTATGTCGAAATATAGCTACAGGTATGTATATGTACATATATATATATATGTATGTATATATGTATGTATGTTTGTATGTATGTATGTATGTATGTATGTATGTATGTATGTATGTATGTACACATATAAGTGTTAAAATTTTGTTAATATATTTTTTTAAGCATGTTAGAAGTTAGAAATACATTAATATTATAAGTAACAATATCAATCTGACGAGATTATGAAAGGAATTATGCAATGTTATGCTTCAGAAATAGTGTCAGGCTCTGTGAAATTTTACACATTTGTGGAGACATTGGGTTCCTACACAACGGACCAAAACATTCTTACAAGAGAAAAAGGTGTTTCAGTCCTTTCTTCTGTTTTATCACAACTACCTCAAAATTATCTTAATGAATCAGAGCTGCATTTCATGGCAATGTTTTATTGCGACAGGCTAAGAGATCACGATAAAGTCATACCATCTGTATTAAATGGTATTCTTGCAATTGTAAGTACACTTGTTTTTTGAAAGTTTGAGCAATTGTTTTCATATTAGTTAAATTTTTATGTGTAAACTCTGTTTCAGGTGAATATGAGTTATTTATCTCAAGACTCATTATTAAGCCTCTTAAGATCAATATTTCAACATGTTCAATGTCAATCTCAGCTTATACAAGAACGTCGCAATATTTATTTGATACTTAAAACTTTAATAGAAAATAGATTAAACAACTTGAGACTCATGGGACCAGATTTAATTGACGGTATTATTAATACTATTGATGGTGAAAGAGATCCGAATAATCTCATGTTATTATTTAGCATATTGCCATATGTTATAAGAGAAATTCCATTGGGCCATTTAACTGAAGAAATGTTTGCAGTTGTGGCATGCTACTTTCCAGTTGATTTTAATTCCGTAATTATATTGTGAATTCTTTTATGTCATATGAAACGGTAATATATAAATTTATTACTTATAAATATTTTGCAGTCTGGCAGAGAGGATCTGAATTTGAGGAGGGAAGACTTGGCAGAGAAGTTAGCACCTTGCTTATACGCTACCTCAGAATTTACGAATCATTGTGTACCGCTTATAATTGAGAAATTATATTCTACACACAAAGTTGCTAAACTCGATAGCTTGAATTTACTCCGCGACAGTGTTCAAACGTTCGGTGCGTTAAAACTGCAACAATATTTATATGAATTATGGACAGCCTTAAGGAAAGAAGTTATGCCGGTGAAAGATATTGAGATAGCAGATGCTGCCTTAGAAGCAATAACATCTTTAATTAGAGTGATATCTACTGCTGAAATTTTTTGCAAAGATTTTATTGACAAAATAATTACCGACACAAAACCATCACTGTGCAATGTGCAATTCGGCTTATACAGACCAGCTAAGAAACTAATGGAAACAATAGGAACAGTCAATAAAGAAACGTGTATGCAAGTCCTGTTAGCTATCGTACCTCTATATATTGGACAATACTCCACAAATATTTCATGGGATGATAAAACCGAATTAATAGAGACTTTAAATGGTATTATGAAAATATGCTCTGACCATGGAATTTGTATTCAAGGTATCATATTGATACTAATATTATTACAAGTATTTCCTAGTTTACTACAGCATGTCATTAATATAATTTGTTATTAGTTATTATTATAAATAAAACAAAATTTATTTTAGATATTCCAGAATTAAGGTGGACAAATATATCTCAAATATACTTAGATAGCTTGACGGCAGAAAACATCAAATTAAAAAGTAAAATATTTCTTGGTTTAGCGATACAAAAGTCATGTTTAAATAAGGAACAACGTTTTATATTATATAATGCAATATGTGATCAAATTGATACGGGATGTGATGAGATACAGATTACATGTCATACAACCATTCTAGAATTTTCTGTATTGTATCCCCAAGAAATAATATTGTTGGTTAAAGAAAGATTTTTATTTAATGCAGGTGAGTTACATCAGGTGTAAACTTACTTTTGTGGATAGAAATGAAAGTGACGTATTATTTGGTATTATTTCAGATGAAGCGAAAGTCGATTTATTGAAACGTAGAATAACAACTTTGTTAGCGATAGCAAAACTTCGTGAATTGGGATGCACGATTCTCCCAGAAATTGTTACAATGTTAACCAACAACATTAATAATGATGTATATATTACAGTATTACTGAATATTCAAAAGCTGATTGCTTCAGGAAAGTTTGATTTTAATGTGCATCAGTTTCTACATGAGAAATGCCACATTATAGATAAATTAGTTTCATATGAAGCAAATGTCATCGATCACAAAATGCTTATATGTAACGTTTGCCAATTGATTATACGAAGTCTCACGGTTGAAGAACAGCATATGATTGTAATGAAGTACGCCAAGGCTTTAAATGCGAAATTTCCAAAAACAGACGTGGCTATGGCAATGAATCTTTTAATCCCTTTGCGAAAAGACGTTAATTTGCATATTAGTGACGACATAATAGAAAATCTATGTGATCTGGCTATTAGCAATGACAGTCCGCAATACACAAGAGAAATTACTTGTAAATTTTTATCCGTTTTATTAAATAGAATGAAGGTTGGAGATCTCGATCGGATTGTATCTTATCTCGAGGGAAGAATAAGCAGTAATTTGAAAGCGGACATCGATGTGGAATTGAAGCATACAGTTGATTTACAAATTCGAATGACTAAAGCGCTTATCATGAGAGGATGTGGGAAGTCTCAAGACCTTTTGGAGAATGTACATACAATTCGCGTTTATACAATTCTTGAAAACACGGAATATTAATGTTAAAGCTCTAATATATTTTAATTTTCTTTCCACAGCTCACGAGTTTACTAACTCACGGTCGAGTAGGTCGGTATGTAAGTCAGCAGTATCAAATTTTAGTGAGCAACGACGATGTTTTAACAGAGGAAAATTCTTGCGATATTAAAATACTTTACAAACAAAGGGTATTCGAATATTTATTGCGACAGAACAGTAATTTCGTAAATTCAGCAAGACAGAATTATCTTATCGCGTTGGTACATTCGTTGGAACAAATGCCTAGGGAATTAAAACTCTTACATTTAGCAGAGGTAAGTATATCGCTAATATACCTCATAATAAACGAATTTTTTTTATTAATATATCAATATAATTATTAATTATATTGTTAGTTGGTGCCATTGTTAATAGAGACGCTGTCTCTCAACGACGTGCAATTGGTCCTCTGGGCATTAAGATCACTCAAGTTTTTAATTAATACTAAGCACATTGTACTTTCTGACAATGTTCAATGTATCATACCAAGGCTTTTGCAATTAACGACGGAAGAAATCATGGTAATTATATCAGCTTTAATTTCTCTCAAACTTTTTCTCTCTATTATAAGACATCACATAGCGTTTCAATGTTGCAGGATATTAGAATCGTAGCGCTGGAATGCTTAACGCGTTACGCCAATTATCCTACCATCTTAATTTATCCGTACAAAATGGTCGTATTAGACAAGCTGGGAATCACAATCGACGACCGTAAACGTTTAGTTAGGAAGGCTGCAGTGGAAGCGAGGACACAATGGTTCATAGTGGGTGTGTCCGAAGATTGAATAAGAAGAAGTGAATTATTTACATATGGTTCTACTATAAATATATTCTGTATAATAAAAGTAAACATTTTCTAAACTCTGTAAAGTGTTAATTTCTTATCATCAAATGCTACACATGTTATATTCAAAGTGTACGAAGATGCCTTTATTTGCATGTAGTTCGCCTTAGTTTCTCGAATTGGTTTCTTCCTCGAGACCGATTCCACTCCGATGCTCCTCTTAATTAAATAAAACATTGATCCTGGTAAATGGATTATAAGATCTGTAGCTAATACTGTGAACGTGCTCAGTACGATACAAGCATGGGCGACGGTAAGAACATGCGATTTTAATATATTCGCTTTATTTCTCCCTCTTTCTAGTAAAATGTTGAGATAATTAGAATATTTTAAACGGATATTCAAAACGATAATTTAAGTTTTCCAAAGATTTCAGTAATTATGAAGGAAAGGGGCCTCTCCATCCCCTTTGGCTGAAACTTTGTAATATTGTATATTTTGGTGCATAAAATACGAATATGAAAGTAAAAATCGCCTCTCTGTAGTAGGACAAAAGTTACAAAGTGTATTTTCGGTTGCAACAGACGCGGTTGCTAAAAAAAAGTTGCTCAACTTTAAACCTTGACGACAACAACTGGCGATGTAACGCCTCAGTGGCAATTCAAAATAGTACTTTGTAACTAACAATTGTTATCCTTTGCGGCCTGTATGATGGGGTGTTCGCAACGCAAATTATAGAGAATGGCTTTTAGAGAAATAGAATTATTTCTTTCTTTTCCTGTATGATTTATCTTACGTATTTGCAGGTGTGGCGAAGAATGGCGCGTACAAGTACGACGACGGTACAAAATACATCGGAGACTGGAATAGCAGAGGTTTAAAACATGGCGCTGGTTCGCTGGTTCTTCCGGACGGAACACGATACGACGGAGCGTTTCAGAATGGACTGTGTTCCGGAGTGGGAGTTATTGTATTTCCCGACGGAGCAAAGTAAGTTCGACCACTTCGATAATTAAACGTGTCAATGAACGCTGTGTTCACTGTATGTCAAGTACTACCCTGGTGAAAATAATTTTCTGAATTTCTCTGAAAAAGTCTGAATTGGAAAGGCGATTAGCCTACATAAGTGATGGCTAATTTAATATAAAATTTTCTAATTAGTGATTCAGAGCGGAACTTGCTCGATTATCGGGGTTCATTCGTGGTGAAAACTTTGCTTATCCTATTTTCTTTAGATACGAAGGCGAATTTATGCAAGGGTGGTTCCATGGTCACGGTGTATTTTGGCGAGCCGACGGAATGAAATTTGAAGGAGAATTTCGCGGTGGTCGCGTTTGGGGCTTAGGTGCGTAATTACATTACGACGATTAATCGTGTTAACTAATAACAGCAATTGCTGGGAAAGATGTCTTTTAATTATAATTTGGACGTAACCGGTTTATTTATTCGATCGTCATAGGCTTAGTGACTTATGCCGATGAATCGCACGGATTTCCGAGGAACGAGGGTTTCTTCCAAGATTGTAGATTGATAAGACGACGACGTTGCCCGGATATCGTGCAGAAGGCACAGAAGATTTCTATGATGGCTCGTGCTCAATGCAACTAAACTGAAATAACATGGATTATAAACTCAAAAAAGCATAGACTTGTAAAAAATCTTTAAGAAAAGTAGAATGCCTTTTACATTTTTTTTAACAATTCAGTTCATTACAATTGGCTGCCATGCTTTGGAAGGTATACAGTGAATTGAGTTATATACAGGATACGAAAATAAAATGCTGGAACTCTTTAATATTTTAATTCACATTTCCGTAAAAAATGTTTTAGACGAAAATTGTCAAATTTAAATAGGCAGATTATATTTTATTAATTAGATTTAATGGCGGTATTATCCGACCTTAGGTGGGGTTGTCAAAATTAAATTAAGATTAAATTGAATTTTTTTAATGGAATTATCTTTCTTTTTCTGATATAAATCGCTTCCTCTATTCATTCTGTGTAGTATTATGTAAATACTAGACCAAAATTATTGAAAAGTGAATACTTTCCGAGATATTTTGCATTTTATCCAGTAGGCAAGAAACATTAAATCAATGTTTTGAAAGATTAATTTTATGTGAATTTTATAAACATTCTGACGTAATATTTTATGTCTTTAAACTGTTATTTGATAATATGACTTTCTTAAATATTAAAATCATGGTGTGGAAATATTGTTTTTAATGTTTGGGTCGAGTATTGTTAACAATGACATTGTATACAACATTTGGAACTATATATTTTAAAANACAATATACAAATATTATTTTTTATTGTTTGGATCAAATGTTGTTAACAATAATGTTATAACGACGATATTAAGAACGACGATGATATTAAGAACGACGTATTTGAAAACGTTATATATTATAAAATATCGTTGTAATAACGTTGTGTTAATTATTCCTTGCTTATTGAGTACCTTGATACTTTTTAATATAAGATATGAAATATCTCACGAAGTATTTACTTTTCAACAATCTCATCTCACTATTTTTTTTTGCTTTTTTGTACATAAAAAAGAAAAACGATATAAATAGTTTAACAACACTAACTATTGTACATTAGTGCATTAATGCATTTGCAAAATGTGACACTTTCAAGTTTTCTCTGTATTTCTCTATGTCTTTTTACGGTAATCGATTTCTCCCGTTAAAAGTATTAAGTGATTCCATTTAATACCTTTTGTAAATTCTGTATACAGCGGGCTAGTCAGCATGCATGTCAAAAAGCATTAAATCTGAACAAACTGCGCAATGACTCAGCAACGACAAGCTATTCACTGAGTCTCAATGTTGGTTTTAGGGAAGAATTACTATAATAACGTTTCGTCCTATGAATGATTACTTAGCGGGAAACTATTATAGTGGCATAGTAATCAAAGAATTCAGACGTCTTTTACAAGTTTGTCTTAGGAACATAGAAATGTATACAAATAATGATTAGAGAGAAGCAAAAGTACACGGTCACTATATCATACTTTTGCTTAATTATCCAAATAATTAATTATATTTATAATCTTTATTAATTGTTATGATATATTTATAACAGATAGATTTATGATATATTTACCAAAAGAATATATTTTATGAATTATCCATGTGCTAACGAAAGTTCGGACAATGTCTGCGATGGCAGTTTTTTTTTAATATAGGATCAGGAACGTAATTGTAACGAGTTGCGCTCCAGAAGAAAGAGTTGGAGAGGGAACAACAAGGCTAGACTACTTTCTGCTCACATCTTGAAGAGGCGTGGCCGAGCCGGATGTTCCAGTTTTAAAGACGAAAGTACAGCATTTGATCGATTTACGAAATCTGTTAAATGTAACGTTTTAGTATAACAATCTAATTATCGCCACTTTTATCTTACAAACAACATGCCCATCGTATTTTGTATTGAATATTTTAAACTGAGAATCAAGATATATATTAGTTTAAATTGTTTGAACTTGAAATTTAGAAACCTAGATGTATTAATTAATGTTACAAATAGAAAATAACGAATAAATGTTCCGAATTCTTTTCCTTCTCTACTTCTACTTTACTTTTGATTTACTTGAAAGAAACCTTTTGAAGGATTTTGTAACATACGTGTGAAAGTATTCATCATCAAACACTCGTTTTAATTTTTTAAAAATTAAGAGGAGCTTGAATGCTTTTTTATGTATGTGAAATAATACATAATAATCTTAAAAATCATATTTGTGAGGCCTTTTTTAGGTTTGTCACGTCATAGAAGAAGAAAAAAAAGAAAAATCATATTACTTTTTTAAGACTAATATGTCAAGTGACAAGTTGCATAATTTAGGTTTAATTTAATTTCGTTTGAATGATCGAAATGAATATACTTAACATACTTTCGATAAAATATCGTCTTACGGCCTCTCTGTCAGAATGTTACATTTAACGGGGAGTAAGACGTTCGGGCACAATGGCGCAATAATCAAATTTATCCTTGACACTACTTCTCCCACCATAATAATCTGTATACATCGAAAGATTTCGAGGTCCGTCGCCGTTTGTCGGGCCAAGTATAAAAGTACCGATTGTCACTGATGGTAGCACTCGCATTTCGGCACAGACACGACAAAGTCGTTACACGCTAAACATAATGGCAGCTAAGGTATGTACAACCAAATTATTCGTACAAAATCGCTCGAATAGAAAGACTAAAATCAGTACTTAATTATTGTCGAAATATTATTAATGGTATAATTATCGAAGAGATTATAGGGGAACCCTGAGCATAACGGAAACTCTAAGATTTAAACAAGCTTTAAAAAACTTCAACTTGGTTTTACGCTAAAGTATTCTTTCAAATATTCACTATAAGAAAAGCACAAGTTTTATTGTGAAAAAACTGGAATTATTGTTTTATTGAAAACGTAAATTAACCTCGTTATACTTCTTATGTTGATGGGATACTTTATAAAAGTTTGTTTCCTAAACATTATACAGATCAAAATTTCTTAAAAGTCATTTAGAACACGTAATATACAGGGTGAATTACAACCAGCCACCCGAATAACACCCACAATTCTGGACATATAAAGAAATGAATTTGAGGTAAAAGTTGTTTGATATCGAAGGGGATATATTTTGATAATAAAATATAACTTCAAGTAGAGTCGTCCAATGAAGGTCAATTTAATGTTTTTTTTAGTGGAATCATATAGCTTTTATAGCTGAAAAGCGTTTACCATTCCGCGCTATGTTTTATGTGTCTTATTAAAAACTATTAAAAGCAATGAAACTCTGGAAATGTTTGTAAAAGAATTTGGTCTTGCTTGCAAACTAATGAACTGACAGAAATTGCTGTTTTGGCTGCAATGACACACAACTCACATAACATAATTCTCGACAAATACAGAGAGATTTTGATATTTCTAAGACAAGTGTTTCACGCATTCTTAAACGCCACTCATTTCATTTATCACCATATTTCATTACGTCAACAACTTCACGAAAATGATTGGTATAATATTAATCGGGTAGAATTTGGTGGTTACGGAAGGAATGTATTTTTCTTGCAGTTTTTCGTAATTTGCGCTCTGCTGGCCGCAGTCAACGCCGGCTACATCGGAGTGCCATCCGCCTTGCAGTACCAAATCGCACCAATAGCGCAGGTTCATTCCCATGCTATCACGTCGACATCCGATAACATATTACGTAGCCATGGAAATTTGGCGCAAGTAGCCACGCAGACCAAGACCATCGACACGCCGTTCTCCAGCTCGAGCAAAGCCGACATTCGTGTGACCAATCCTGCGGCCGTCGCCTACACGCACTTCGCTCATCCGGCTACCCAGTTGACGTATGCCGCCGCCGCTGCTCCAGCAGCCGCTCTCGGAGTCGCATATTCGCCAGCCGTCGAAGTGTCTCATATGAGCTACAGCAGCCCTATCGGAGTCGCTTATGCCTATTAAAAATCGACTGCATATACCCCGTACATACATAAACAACTTGACGAATATATTATTTATTTGCGGGTATAATTTTGACGCAACTACTCGTGCGATCGACCAATGAAGGAGACCGTTCGAGACGCGGTTATGCAATAAAGATTATCCTTTAATCTGTGTAATATTGTTTCGTATCTCGACTGTTACCCCTTGAAGTTCCCCGGCTTACGGTACGTTGCAGCAATATTGTGGCGATATTTTGACACTATAAATATTACTAATTACTTTGTCCAAAAGTAATTAATTCGGAATTATTATAATAATATGAAGTCAATATTTTGATTGAAATTACGGCTAGTAAGTGAGTATCTTTTTTAAAGCAAGTATATTTTAAACATGTTTCAATGACATCACGAAGCATATATGAAATATTTGCAAGCTATGTTCAACATTTTTGATTGTCTGGGCGTGTATTAGAATGGCCGACTGGTCGCCACTCGAGATCGAATCTACATAGGGATACGAAAAAAATGTACGAATCGTGAAATAGCGGTTACCGGCAGGCGATCACGTTGCCTCTTCTTTATTGACAACGTTTTCTGAATGTTTTCTGAATTGCAACGTTTACACAAGACATTGCGAATTCAGCGGACATTAGACGTTTTTGCAAAGTCTTTTTAATGTTGAATCTACGTTTCGCAAACGCCGATATAACATTGCGATGTTGCGATGTAACGTTTCTGAGATGTTAATTCAACATAAGTACGCTATATGGGTAGGTGAAAGATTCCTTGAGAAATAGAACAAAAAATTTTCTACGTATGAAGTTTTATTTTACAGATTCGTATTTATTTGGACCTCTTACATCAATAATTTATTTTTACATGAAATTTTAGGTGGGAGAAAAGAAAAGGGAGGGGCGAGGGAGAAAAATGAGGATAAAAATGTGGAAAACATTAATTTTAGAAAAGTGCACGATGTATCAGCAAATTATATGCAGCCAACATTTTTGATAGCATATTTTGCGTATGCTGATAAGGACGGCATGTCACTCAACATGAGATCTAACCTTTAATTCCTGCTCCCCAGGATCCTGCTCCCCAGGATCCTGCTCCCCAGGATCCTGCTCCCCAGGGTTGGGCTTTCCAGGATCCTGCTCCCCAGGGCGCTGCGGTAAGGACAGGTTTAGCGATGACAGGCGCGACCAATGGTGCTGCAAAAACAATTTTAGCAAATGTCAACTTAGACTTAGTACAAAGAGAAGTGAAGGAAAAGGACAAATTTGAACACTACGTTCTCACGCGACTAAATCGCAAGTATGTTATTCGCGAGCTATTATGTAACCAGTCGAGAATCGAAAAACTTGTCTCCAAATTGCCATGAATCCATGTATTTAAAAAATTGATAATATTGCGATACAAAACAAAAATAAATAAAACTATTATAGAAAAGCCATCTCAAAGTTTTATAAAAAATATGTAGGATATATCTCCCCAATAACCCACACCTCTTTCATATCCTCCTTTAATGATTAATCGTGAATAGAAAAAGGTAATTTTTATATTATCATCAGGTTAAATTTAAATCACAAGTTAACCGAAAATGTAAAACCGGGCTGTCTTAAGATCGTCTTAAGTTTACCTTCAGATGTTTCATAGTCAACGAAACAAGCCATATAGCGTCTGAAAATGAACTTAAGACGCTCTTAAATATAAGACCTGATTAAGAATATCATCCTTAGAGAATGGGATGATGAAATCTTCTTTACCTTTAACAATGGTAGCGGCAGGAACAATCGCTGGTGCAATTGCGATTGCTGGTTTTACAGCAATGCCTGCTGGTGCTGCGAGCCAGCCACCAGCCACCGCACTATGAGCGACAACTAGAAGCCAACAGCAAATCGCCAAATACTACAAAGTAAAGAACATATTTATTTGTAGCTTAAAGGGAAATATTTGTCTTATACTTCGGGGGAATACTTTAAGACGAACTGATTGCGGTTAATTCTTCAAAAATTCTTTAGATATTCATTTTTTTTCTAATTCTGTACGTATTCTTTAAAATGAATTCTCTCAGAACTTACTGAGTAATTGGCAATTATATTCCGAATTATCTTTATTTTAATAATACGTGTAAGCAACAATGTATTAAGTTAGTACATTTTCCTAATCTGTATTAAGGCACTTTAGTACATCATTGTTTACCTGCATTATCGAAATTGAAGTAATCCGATCGAAAATTACTATTTGATGCAGATATCAAACGACCGGTATGAATTAGGCCATTAACTTAATTCATTTTCAGGAAAGACAATATTGTATTATACGAGTAATAATACTGATTATTATAAATAATTATTACAAATAATAATTATTATAAATAGATTGTTTTCACTCCAAGGAGACTTACTTTGTGCATGGTGATGTTCTGCTTTTCTATTTCCTGTTGAAATACGAGGAACGAATTGAATGCTCCGACTAAATCTGACAGCCTATTTATACGCATGCTGCAACAAAACCTGTCTAATGTACTTCACGCATTTTTTCTCAAAAACTCGAGTACAGTCGGAACAGTCGAGTATCTATAATGTAATCAGCGACACTATACTCATAGTGAGATGTTATTGCATCATTTTGTTGTAATATATATCTTGATAAATTATGAATACATTTTTGTACTCTTGTTATAAATATTTCGAAAGACTAATATCTAATCAAGAATTTCTTAATGTTACTTATTTCGTTAACTTTTCGATCTATTTCATTTAAAAATATACATTTTGTATTGATCAATTTTTGTTATTGCATAGCGAAGTATTAAATTAAAAAATTATATTATAAATTAAAAAAAAATTGTATTAATTTCTACTTTCGATGAAATATCGAAGCATTCTTTCGAATTTTAATGGGCAGACGAAATAAACGATCAATTTCTATATTCCGATAATTATTCAAATTCTAGAATTTTAAAACTAAAATTCTTTTAATAGATTTTGACTAATGTTTTATATAACCCAGACATCTAAAATTAGTTTTAAAAATGTTTGTAAGACGTCTGATAGACATTTTACGTCCCCATTTTAGACGTTATGTTGTCTGGAATCTGTTTTTCGAAACATAATCAGAGTTATAGTACCATTTAATTTTTATTATTTGTTAGAAGAACGTGAAAGATTAATTGTATATTTACATACCAATAATTTTGTAGATTTGACTGATGGACTGTTTGTATCTTTACATATCACAAATGACGACATCTGCAACTTTTTATGCCTTATTTGTAAGTATACCAATCAAGCTTCGATATAACGTTTGTCTCGTGCATTGTGTGCGAATGTTACATCATATAGTATAGATGCAGAATACAAAATAGGACACCATTCTTATCTATGTGCATAATTGTCTGACGCAAACTTCTGTCAAGTTGCATAAAATCCTTCTCTCTCCTTGTCTCTTAACTGATATATATATATATATATATATATATATATATATTTATATATATTTATATATATATATATAAAGATAGATTTTATAGATATATATATAAATATATATAAAGGCAGAACATTCCAAGCTAGCTTTTTAGTTGTTGTGTGTATCATATGTCGAGAAAGACATGAGAGAATAACTGATACAAATTTTTAATTTCAAATATTTTGCAAATTTATTAATATTCGGTCGAATTGTGTTGAAGTATTTTAATTTATAAAAGAACATCATACAGATACTCAAAAGTGTTTTATTTCCATTGATTTATCTTGTGTATATGCAACTTTTTAATATCACATACTCATATCATTTGTTAAAAATTCTGATTCTTTAGAATGTAATGCGTGCAGTGTTGTTTGAAATGAAATAATTGCGACAAATTTTGGGAGTAAAAGTTATACGTAGGTAGCTATTTATATTTTTGGCCTTGGTAACAGTAAGTGTTGCCAGGCACTATCTGACATTGTCATTGGAAACTTGACATTGTCGAACATAAGAACATAAGAACACATTGTCATTTGAGCGCGGTTTGTGTTGTTTACAGTGAATTGAAAAATTCATGTCGGGCAAAAAATGGAATTAACTCGTGAACATTTTCGTGCGATTATTTTTCATAACTTTCGACGTGGATTATCAAGACAAGAGTGCATCGATGAACTTAATTCTTCATACAGCGAGAAAGCACCATCCTACAGCACTGTAAAAAATTGGTATAACGAATTCAATCGTGGCCGACGTTCACTCCCGGACGTGAAGGTCGTCCAAAATCGGTTGTTATGCCAGAAAATATCGATGCTGTGCGTGAACTGATAAAGCAAGATCGTCATGTGACATACCGTGAGATTGAGGCATCTTTGGGCATTAGTATGACAAGCATCAATAAGATATTGCATGAACATTTGTCCGTAAAAAAAAAATTTGTTCGCGTTTGATCCCGCATAATCTGACAAACGCTCAAAAGAAGACTCGCGTTGATTGATGCAAGGAAATGTTGAAAAAATACGTTCAATCAAAGGCTGTGTATAACATCTACACAGGTGACGAATCATGGATCTATGCATATGAGCCTGAAACAAAACAGCAATCGACTGTATGGGTCTTCCAAGACGAGTCAAATCCAACAAAAGTTCGCGGAAGAAGCACATCGAAGCAAATGGTTTCTTCGGCATTACCGGTCATGTGGCGACAGTGGCGTTAGAGCACCGTAGGATGGTCAGTTCGGAATGGTACACGACCATTTGTTTGCCAGAAGTCGTCGGAGAAATTCGAGAAAAGCAGAAGAAGAGGCGAATCATTCTTCATCGCGAGCTCTCACACATCGGGTCAAACAAAGGAATTTTTGACCAGCCAAAACATCGAATTGATGGGTCAACCGCCGTACAGCCCTGATTTGGCATCCAATGACTTTTTCTTGTTCCCGCACATCAAAAATAAATTACGTGGTCAACGATTTTCGACACCCGAAGAAGCGGTTGATGCATTCAAAACGCATGTTTTGCAGTTACCTCAATCGGAGTGGAAAAAGTGCTTCGAAAATTGGTTCAAACGCATGCAAAAGTGTATTGATCATCATGGAGAATATTTTGAAAAACAATAAAACCAATTTCGATCATAAATATTTGTTTTTTCATTATTAGGCCAGAAATATGAGTAGCAACTCTCGTAGCATATAGTTTGGCCGAAATATTTAATAATTTTCTATTTTTTAAATATTTTTAGCATCTCCATATAGATCATTTGCTAAAGCTTCTCGAACAATCAAAATGTCAAACGACACAAGTATTATACATGAAGTTTGAAAAAAAATATCGAAAAATTGACGGAGTAGGAGTGATGTGAATATAAAAGCACGCCGGTTTGAAATATTATTACAGCGCGCGAGGTCTCCTTCGTTTACTATCTGGACAATTCAAAATCTGTTATTCGCGTCTTGAATTCTTTTGTCCGATATCTTCGATATATGTATGTACATATATATATATATATATATATAAGATCTGACTACGAATCCCACCTTATTTAAAAACTATTATAGTTTCAACACTCTATGTTAGGAATTTGGTCTCTATTTGAATTTAGAAAAATATCACATCGCAAGAACAAAAATATCTTATATATATTTACATAAAATGTATACATAAATGTATACATAACATTTATGTATAATAATAAGTATAAAAATATCGGAGATGTAATGATGTAAGTGGATGATTGCTCCTGTGGATAGTGGTAAGTGGATGATGGTTCCTACATATTAACCAATAGAGAACACGTTCCGGTACCAGATTTGCACGGTTGTCCCAACATAAGTCTACTCGAAGGCGACAATAAACTGTCCTTTTTACCTGTATATGTAATAAGAAAAAAATAGAATATTAGAATAACATTTTATAAAATATATGTGTATACACGCGCATACACGAGAGGAGGTATAATGAATTTATTATTATTTAAAAAAACTCGAACAGTACCACTAAAATATATCGTAAGTCAAAAGTATTTATCATTTGAGAAGAAAGCATTTCTCCGAGTCAATATTCATATGATCATTTTTCATCTTTATGGTAAATAGAATTAAAAAAATAGACTAAAAGTACACGCGCGTATAATTACATTATATCTTTATATTGCACCGCTTGTATACACAGAATTCATTATCACTCACCCTCCAATGTCGCATTTTTCAAAAAGTTCAATGAACTTTCGAAACTCATTTGTTGTAATGGCGAGGCAGAACTCTCCATTCCTTTACGACTGAGCGGTTGGAATGTGCCATCAAACGTCATATAGTCCGCAATTAATGACAGATGTCTAGAATCAACAGTGATACCATACATTTTGAAGACGTCTCTAACTTCTTTTATGATGACTCTGTTTGCAGCTTCAATTCCATATGTTTGAGAAATATTGTAGATGTCGTTCGAATACAATTTGTTTAAATTAAGAACATTATCATATTTAAACATTTCCTGTAAGAAAAGGGAATATGTAACATTTACGAGGAATATAGAAGAGTGACAAATTTCTACATATAACCTACTTATGATTCATATTTCACTTACCACTATGTTCAAACCGTCTGTTTTGAGAATAGTCTCGCCTTCATTATTTTGGAAAGTAAAGGCTCTCTTGATACACGGGGTTTCCCATAGGACAGTTTTGCTCGCAACATTCCTAATTATCGTTGGCAGATCTAATTTTATCATCTTAAGCGGTAACTGAAATGGAGGTTTCAAGATATTCATATCTTATGCAGCATTGTTGATTATATTGGTACGATTTAATAAACAGAATGAAATTTCATACACTCCACGTTGTATGATTTTTGATATAACGAGAATTTTATTTTTTATAAATATTTCATTCCGAAGTAATATAAAAAATGTGTTGCACGACAAATCTTTAAATATGACAAATACTCACCCAGAATACAAATTGACACCAAGAGAATTTATTTTCATCATAATCATAATCCAAAGCATTCTTATACATATGTGTGACTTCACTTCTTCTTGTAGTATTATGTTTATCATTTTTCTTGTAATTTAACTCCTCTGTTACATAATCGTCATCATCTTCATCATACTCGTTCCCCGGAGCTTTATTTGCGTTATTACCGTCTGCCTCTTCGTCTTTATCGTTCATGACACTTTCTATTTCCTCTTCTTCGGGATCCTCGTATTCCTGATTCTCTCGATGACGCGATATCGATCTACTCATCGTGGCATCAGCGTCTTCCGCAGCATCTTCCTCATCGGATGATTCATGCATCTCTCCTAAGTCTCTCCGCATACCTACTCTTCTTTCCGCACCTTCTCCTTCGTCAGGATCAGTCTGATCTAACGTTGCATCCTCGTCGTTCGTCTGTTTTTTATTATCCTCTTCAAAATGTAATAAATTGCCCGTTACTTTGGCGACTTTTTTAATTTCCTTAAATATATTCTTAAAGAAAATTTCCTCGGTACGCTTCATCACGTACCGCGGATAAACGGAGAATTCTCCCTTGTAATATTTGTGAGGCAGGAACTCTATCCTTATAGTATGCACTAATCTTCTGTTCGATGTATCTTCCATTTCCCTGCTTATCGCAATTGTCTTTAGAACGTCACTTAAAACGCACTTTGTTAATTTCACGCGCAGCTTCTTCGACTGCTTCGCAAGATTTTGCAAGTTGCTCTTGAAAGGTATCTCCATGCTCGGAGTTTTTATATTCTTCGATGCCATCATCAGAATCTCCCGTAATCTGGGAATACCCAAGGTCACGTTCATGTCCCCACGACCCGCAAAGTGGAACGTATTCAAGGTCATCTGGGTGGACGGCTCGCCTATAGATTGCGCCGCTAACAAACCGACTGGTTCACCGGGTGGACAGATAGTTTTCATAACTTTCATGGATAACAGATCCCTCAGGTCCTTCCTGGCGATATTCGATGAACGGGACAGATATTCTTCCAGTAAACCCTCCAATTGTTCTGACAGTACGCCAAATTCAACATCTTGCCTGTACCTCGACATTATCGGATCGGGACACCTTGCGCATTGCGCGCGAAACATTTTCCTCGTCTCCTTATCCGCTTTCACCCATTTTTTCACAAGTGTCAGCGCGGCCTTAGTCCTTCCGCAATGCTTCTCAATGCTATTTTTCTTCGTATTGTTATTCTGATTAACATTCTCCGAGGAAAATCTACTAAATTCGCTGATTCTCCTCTTCTCCAAAGGTGAACCGTTTTTAATCCGCCACTTCTTGATCTTCTTCGTTATCTTCGCGATCTTTTCATTATTACTCGATCCTGCTTTGAGACTCTCCAATGTCGCCGCGTCCATAAGAGCGTCTTTATTATCGACCAGGAAAGGCATTTGTTTCTTCTTCAAGAAACGCGAGCCAGGTATGTCGAGACCATCTTCGCCGTAATAGAACTGAATCAGGCTGCCGTCAGAGTCCCTGACCGTCGAATCGTAATTGACTACCAGACCCTCCAGATGCTTGATGAGACATCTCTGCAAATAACCGGATCTACTCGTTTTCACAGCGGTATCGACGAGACCCTCGCGACCCGCCATACAATGGAAGAAGAATTCCTGAGACCTGATGCCGGTCATGAATCTGCCGACGATGAAGCCACCGGCTCTGGGAGTCGGATCGTACGCCTGGAAACTCGGCAAACTCTTCCCGCTGATCATCAACGGCGGCCTTTTACCTTCCAACTCGATCTGCCCCAGCAAACACGATATCTGCATGGTGTTCACTGCGGACCCCTTTGCGCCGGACTGCACCATAAGTTGCAAATTATTGTCCGGGAATTTTTTCGACAGCCCTGCCGGTAAGCACGTTTTGTTAATGTCATTGGTGTAGACGTCCAGCGCGTTTTTGTACTTGCGATCGACCTGCGCGCGAAACTTTGCGTTATTCCAGTAGGATTCCTCCATTCTGTCTCTTACGTCATCTGTGGATGTATCCACGACGGATTTCTGTATATCAACTCCTATCAATTTACTAGCGGCGACGATTTTTCTGCGTTTCTCGTTGGCCTCGCGAGTTATCAGAATGTCCTCGATGCCGAGCGTGAATCCGTCCCACTGTAAGAATGCTTGGAAGAGCTTGCCGAATGCGCTCAGCGTCTTACTCGCGCACACACCGCCGTACAATTCGTAGATACAATGAATGAGACCATAGGGGGTCGCGCCGTAATGCGTTTTATCGAGCACACCGCACAACAGCTCGCCATGGCGAATTACAACTTCCACCTCCGACATGGTTTTCGGATCCTCGAATTCCTTCCCGCACTTCCAACGTCGCGACTCGCTCACCTGCCACTCCTTCAAACTGATTTTCGTGTTGGAAGTTAAATTGATTCGCGCCTTACCGGCGGGAATAATATTGATAATAACGGTCGATAGAATTTGCTTGCCCGACCATAGTGATCGCGGCTTGATGATGGCCGGCGGCAAGAGAATAATGTTGCCTCGTTTCATCGACAGCGCGGTATGCACCAGCTGCATGTAATCCGCCCTCGAGAAGAATCTACCTCTGGACGTTAATCGCACACCGGACACCATGTGATCCTGTATGAGGCCGCTCAACGGCGTTCCATCTTTCGGCACGAGATACTGATTCGACACACTGGCTATGTTGTAACCCTCGCTTCTGGCCAGTTCGTTCTGCGGGAAATGTGCGTTCACCTCGTCGCCGTCGAAGTCCGCGTTGTACGCTTTGCAATTGGCGTAATGAAGACGCAAGGTCTTCTCACCTTTAAGAATACGTGCTTTGTGCGCCATTATACTCGGTTTGTGCAGCGTCGGCTGCCTGTTTAACAGCAACACGTCGCCGTTCTGCAGGTGACGGTGTATCACCTTGATGCCGCTGAAAAACTTGTTGGCTCTGCTGTTCGCCGTTAGGAGGCGCTTCGCGATAGCTTCTCTCTTGGTAGCGTCGATATTGCTGATGGCCTGTATCAGCCCATCCTCGTTCTCCACCATAACCGCTCCGGGATGGATGTCGGGTCCGTTCAGAACCAATCGCCGTAATTCAACGACATTCCACGGTGTCACCGGCACGGGATACGTCAGTTTGAGAGCGAAAGCCTCAGGGATACCGATCTCGTCGATATTCAAGTTAGGATCCGGAGTAATGACCGAGCGTGCAGCGAAATTCACCCTCTTACCCATCATGTGCATCCTAATGATACCTTCCTTCTTCTCGATAATCTGTTTCAAGCCTTGACAGTGAGCAGACTCCGAAGTTTTGCCCATTTCACGATCCATCAGGTGATCTACGTTTACTTGCAAACCCTGCCAAGCATTGTGCAATTTCTCGATTGCCGTGAGTCCTCTTATCTGATCGAAGACCAGCCGGCCCTCTTGAGGCAGCTGATCTGTACCTCCGTCTTGGATAGTTTGTATAATATTTCTCAAGATGAGGCAGTCTTGCATGATGTTCTTGTACACATGGGTTTGCGGATGCTCAATCATTTGACCGTGAAGCATGTTCACCGGCCGCACGATCGGCGGCAATACAGATATCACTTCAAGGAAGAATATATCGGTGGGATATTCTATGTCCATTAAATCCAGACAGGGTATAATTAACTTAAGAAAATCCTTCTCATTGTTCCACAATTGGCGGAGATATTCTTTCGACTGATCCGGCATGATCATCACTGTCTCCAACTTATGCACTATTGTACTAGACACTATTTCTTTAGAAGGATTAGCCCTATTCAATTTAGTTGTCATTATTTTATTTTGCATCACTGAAATCCTCGGTATAACTTCGTGACAATTGATGCATATTTTCCCGGCGGTATATTGTTTCAGTATGTTCTCGACGTACATGTGCCACTGCATATTGATGTTCTTTGTATTTATTTGATCCTTGTGATTCTCGTGAGACATATCAGGACTGAATCTATTCCTGTTGTGGAGATTTTCCATGTAATTGTCGATAAAATCGCGAAAGTATTCAGTTTGTGCTTCTAAAACATTCGGCATTTCCGCTACTGCTGATGTTACTTCCTGATCCAAACCATCAATATCACTCAGTTGTCCTTGATAAAGTAACTTCCATTTTGCGGATAATAGCAATTTGACGTAAGGCGGTATTTGAAAGGCGAAACATGACAAGCACGACAATTTGATTAACATACATAATCTTTTGTGGAATAATGGGTTAACGACTGGCATCGGCAGTTCTATGTGCCCAAAGTGACCTGGACAAGTATGGATATTACCACCACATGTGCTACATGGTTCTGAGTTTCCCATTAATGGGCCTGAAATATATTAATTATATGTTTGAATAAATTTCATGTATAGTAAGATACAGTCTAATGGCTACTTACATAGATGAGTAAAATCTTATTATTTAGTTGTATTCTTTTATTCACCAAAATATTAAATATCTCAACTATGATTGTATATCTTAACAAAAAGTTAAAATGAAATTTTTTTTATTTAAAAACTATATTATGATAAGATGTATTTTACCTAAAGATGGATCATATAATCCACCCTTTAGAGGATGTCCAAGGATGTTAAAAGACAAGGGTGTCCTAATTTTCGCTACACTTAGATTTCTTATATCATTTGCTGTAAATATTGAGAACATCAAATATTTTGGATCCAAATGCTTTGGCAATTGACGTGGCTTGCTTCTGAATTTGCTCATTGCGATATTTGTCCAGATATTATAAATTGTAAATCTATGAAAAGATGAAAATATTTCTTACATACATCTTATATCGTATATATGTATTATTTCTATTAATTACTAATATCAGAACAACCAAAGCATATGCATGTAAATAGACTAGCATAATAGCATTAACCAATAAATTGTAACATTTCAAAGTTTTCCATGAAAAATACATTGATTTGCAGAAAATTTGTGTAATAACTTCACGAGTTAAGGCTATTATACCGAGTTATATACACGTGAAGATAACCTCTATGGATTTATCGTTTGACATAAATTATAATAATTATTAAAAATGTTAATACATCCATTTTAGTGAATATATATTGACATGCGCGCAAATTGAATTGATTTTATTATTTTGTACCTTTCATTTACATAAAAATTAAACCATCTTCGCGCCGACAATACATGTATTTAAAAGTGATAGATACGCCCAATAATATTATCGTTTTGATAAAATTTAGATTATTTAATAATATCTTACTTTGAATGTACTTACATATTCTACGAAAATAAAGGAAGTACAATGTGACGAGAATACTTAACAATTGTCACAAAATTTTAATTTCCAAACGAGTGAAGTTTTTCATAGAATTTGCACGTAGGATGCTACGACGTTTGCCGCGCGGCGGAAGTTGGTGCGGTAGCCAATCAACAGGTCTGTTTGTTTTCACTGCACCGTTAAACTAGTGCAATAAGTTGAAGCAAGACAAGTATGTTTTTTCACTTCAGCTTATTGCACTAGTTCAGCAGTGCAGCGAAAACGAACAGACTTAAAGTATCATTTTTCTCGTAATATTCTACTGCGGTATATTCGATTTGGGTACTCGCGCACTGTGAATGTTCGCGTTTATAAAAGTCCTTGCAGTGTCAGGCAACAAAACAGAGAAAATAACATAGTCAATAGATTTCCAACCTATCAGAAACCGTGTATAAGAGAGAATTCACACCTTGACAGAAAAGCAGTAGCCAATCAGAACTCGCGCTGGTAGTACGCTAGATAAGATAGTAGATAAAGTAGAAACTGTCTACTATCAGCGCGAGTTCTGATTGGCTGCTGCTTTCCTACTTTCTGCCTTTCTGTCAGAGTGTGAATTCTCTTTCCGGATCTCTCTGCTTGCACACAACTAAATTAAACGCAGCTATAGCACAAGTCTCGACCAATGAGCATGTTTTGCGAATCAATATGGCTGCTTTCTGCTAGATGTTCATTGGTCGAGACGGTTTTATGCAGCTTTGCTGTGCATACGCTTTTGTGTGCGGTAGCTCTCAAAGGTAAAGGATCGTTTAACCTCTTACGGTGTATGTGACATTCTTTCCAAGCAAGCAGTCTAATGTTCGTACCTTAACGTCTAACGTTACTCAAGTAATAGTGATATATGTGCACGTTTTTCATTTATTTCCACTTTCCTGATGATTGACATTGAAAACTTGCAATTTCAGCGAATATGGTAGCTGTGCATTTGTACGATTCGACAATTTGTCGATTATGCGCAGCGGACAATGGCAACGAATTGTTGTTCGTCAGTGAGACAGGCGAGACAGACTTGAGTTCACTCGTGAATCGATACTTACCGCTGAAGGTGAGTTACTGCCACACTTTTAAAATGCCGGTCAAATATCGGACAACAACTTGATTTCCTCCTGACTGATCCTGCCAATTTTCACAAATCTGTATAGCTGCTACATTGACTACTACACTGATCAAAACTCAATGTTGTTTATTTGATTATTTCCTTTTAAACAATTGTTTTTATAAAATAAAGTACTTAATTGTTTTTGTATGCAAAATATGTTTTTATATATATATATATATATGTATATATTTATCTATCTATCTATCTATCTATTTATCTATCTATCTATCTATCTACATAAATATGTGTTACAATATGTTACCATCTGATTATTCAGAAGTAAAGTTAATTTATATGTTACGTAGATATCTTTCTTTTGATTTATGTCCGTATGTGATATATATTGATAAAAGTTTTAACAAAATTGTCTGATGTATAAATTATTAATATTATTATTATCTTTCTTAGTGAGAAAAACTTAAAATACACAGATTTTTATATAAGCACATAGGAAGGAAAATTATAGTATTAACAAATCACAAGTTATTGAATTATAGTATTATATAATGATTATAGAGAATTTTCAAATCATTAGATACTTTAAAATATGTAACAGTTCATAGGAGAAGTTAATTAGACATTGGTATATCTATTAACAAAAATATGCTTTATTAGTATAATTAAAATTATTATATAGCTTCTCCTGTAACTCTGTAATTCATATTATGATTCTAATTTTTATATTATTTTTTTGTAAGGTTCGAGACGATGGCAAATTACCAAGAACAATTTGTCCAGGCTGTAACATTCAACTAGAAGCAACAGTTCAGTTTTTACAGCTGTTAGTGAATGGACAACAAAAGTTACGAGAAATGTGGAAACATGAGGTGGAGCAACGCAGAGCTGAACGTTTGTTAGATAAAAGAGTAAATATAGACCGTGTAGCTCAGCATAATGAGAATGAACAGGATGAGCAACAAAACATTGTTAAAGGTAATAAAACCTTTTATCTACGTATGTTTGTATTGACAGAAAGATTTTGGCATTTTATTCTATCAAAATATTATTTGTGAATTTATTATTTTAGTAACGTCAGAAGGATCCATGTATCCAGCAGAACATGAAATGAGTTTACAAATAGAAGGTTTGACTAAGCCAAAAAGGAAACGTGGACGTCCACCTAAAGTACACACAGAAGCAGACACTTTGGTTTGTAATACATTATTAAGTTGGTTCGATACTTCATCATGATCTACTATCTGATTTTTATTTAACATTTAAATATTAGTATTTATATTTATAATAGATTCTCTTTTGTTCTATATCTACATATATAATTTGAACATTTAGTTATCTTGGTCTGATGTTTACAGCACACTGATTTTATGGCTAATCCAATATTCAATATTGAAGTTAACGATTTTGTGTTAACAATTTTTTTAATTAATATATATTAACTTTAATAGATTTATGAAAGTTGCATTTTATATAGTTATACATTACACAATTTTTTTTATTAGTTTTGAAAATAAAATCTGAAAATTTTGCAATATAAAATATTTTTTCAGAGTTCTTACAGTTTCTTTCAAAAATTTTCAAAGTAGTAATTGAAACTCGAGTGATTTTTAATTATATTTATAATTTATAATTTTATTTACAAGCTTATAAATGGAAAATATTGAGGATCTTGCCTAATAAATATATATTCATTTCCAAGATATATTAAAAAATACTTTCATTTTATCTAGAATGTATAATAAATCGTCTAGAAAATCAGGGAATTCTCAAGATAGATATCTTGTCAATATGTATTAGAATTTTCTTATTTACATGCATTATATGAAAGGCAACAAAAGAAAATCCTGTAGAAACTGTGAGCCAAGGTGAAGAGGATAAACAAGAAGAAATCGATGAAATGGATGGTGATGGAAGGCGCAGGAGAAAACGTAAAGTTCCAAAAAGGTATACTGAAAAAAAGAAACTTCTTTGTTTTAATACGTTTTAATGATTAATGAATTTACACAGATTTATGGAAGCAGTACAAGGAAAGGAACTAGAAAGAATTTTTAAGGAGGAGGGTGTGATTGATGAAGAAGATGATGATCCTGAAATGCATGATGATTCTGAGGAAGCATTAAATTCTTCTATTCAGGATGGTCAGGAAGGTTTGCATAATATTTTGAAAGCCTGGTATAAAAAATTAAAACATTTTCGCTACTTACTCATATATTTTATGTGTTTTGCAGAAGTAATTGGTCATCTTGAAACGGAAGAAGGTAAAGACTTGGGTGAATTGGTAGTTGTGAATCGTGCACGAGGGAAAACAAAACTAAACCGACGGAAGACCAAATTTACTTGTCAACTTTGTGGCAGAGGTTTTCTACAACGCAGCAGATTCATAGTACACAAGTAATATTTTCTGCAAAATCTTGGACAATTCATATTAGATTATGAAAATGGAGTATTTTAGAATTGAAATATAGTTTAAAATCTTGTATTTACGATCATTTTAGATATGATCAAATAATCTTAATAATTGGAATATGTTTTAAATATGCATAAAAATTCTCAATTTTTAATACAACACTAGGAGCTTTCATAAAAGCGTGAGATATGAGTGTACACAGTGTAAGAAGCTCTTCATCAGCAAGGATAACCTGATGTTGCATCAGAAGACAACTCTGCACAATTCGAATTCTGTGAACGAGAATGTCGAGGCGCCGAATTCACTCGAAAGGATTGAGATAGCCAACGCAGAGCAGAACACTTCAACGTCGATAACCGAGGTAGAAGATGATATCAATGGCGCGATTAAATGTGTGCAGCACAGTAAAAAACACGAAGAGAGACACAAAAGCTACATTCAACGAAAAAAGCAGATCAGTGAGCACTCAGTGATCATTGTCTGTGATTATTCTTTTAGATTCTTGGTAGGAATTCAGGAATTTATATATATATGGAGTGATAATCACTAAGAGTGAGTTCAGTTTGGACGCTCATCTGTTGTGAGCGTTTATACTTGTAAGCGTCGCTTTCAGTCGTTCAATTTAATGTCTGAGCTCTTACGGAATACCTTTCATTTTGGCTATTGTAAACGATTATAAGTGTTAAGATGGCGGACGATAAAATATTGTGCATGTTATTTTGTCAAATGATATTATTATTAGGAAGATTTTTCGTTGAGAAGGTATATAAAAATCCTTATGATAAGGATTTAGAGGATACGCAAGATAACTTAAACTTTCATGTAATGATCTCGTAACTTCGTTAATTATTTTTAATATGATCTCCCTGCTATTTCTCTCGAATATTTATGATATTTCAGAGGAGTAAACTGGATAAAGAATACCCATGTGATATCTGTGGCAAAGTCCTAAATCATCCCAGCTCCGTCGTGTATCATAAAGAAGCCGAGCATAATAACGGGCGTCGTTTTGTCTGTAACAAATGTGGGAAGAGTTTCAAGCACAAACAGTTGCTCCAGCGTCATCAGTTAGTGCATTCAGATAACCGGCCATACGTTTGTAAGTCATGTAATGCCAGTTTCAAGACTAAGGCGAATCTGATTAATCATCAGTTTACTCACACGGGCGAGAAGAAATACTTCTGTGACATTTGTAGCCAACAATTTGCGCACAAGACCAGTCTCACGTTGCATTACAGGTGATTATTTCTTGGATTCAAGGAATTTTAGATTTTATTTTTATTAATATTGAGTACATAGCATATGGGAGGTGAGGGAGAGTCAGGACAATTTTGATATTTTCTCTTCTGTAGCTTGTTTCGCAAAATTTCGTAGCAACAAAAATTAAGATTGATCTGTTACTTCACTGAAGAAGTTAATACAAAGTTTGGACGAATTATAATAAATTATCATCTTTACAATTTGGTGAACTAAGTTTTCTTACATGTCACATAGAGACAAATTAGCTGTGTCTCAATAAAAAAATGTACTATCAACTGTTAGAAACAAAATAACTCTGTCACAACTCTCCCTTGGTACCAATTCTTCCTCATCTCCCCTACATATGGCATAAGCATAATGTATATAGTAATGTAAACTCCTAAAAACGCAAATGTAAAAAACTACATCGTTAGATATGAACAAATGTTTCATTCTTGGGTTTTCATCTTCATAAAAATTTAAAAAAAAAAGGAGATGAAAAAACATTTATCACGAATACAGAATAGAACAGTAAACACAAAAAAATCGAATAGAGTAACTTTTATATATTTCCTCATCACTCAAAGTTCATATGAATGAAAGTTCGTCTGTTTCAGATGGCATAGTGGCCACAAACCGTACACTTGCGAGGTATGTCAGAAGAGTTTTTCTCAAAATGGCAATCTGCAAGAGCACATGCGCATTCACACTGGCGAAAAGCCGTATTGCTGCGACCATTGTGGTCGCAAATTCACTACATCATCCCAGTTTAAACTGCACGTGAAACGACACACCGGCGAGCGACCTTGGAAGTGCGAGTTTTGTGCAAAATGTTTCTTGCATAAAGATACATGGAAGTGTCATGTACGTCGGCATAAGGGCGAACGTCCATTTCAATGCGCGCATTGTAATCGCGGATTTACGGAACAATGGGCACTGAAGAAACATTTCCGCTTGCATACTGGTAATTAGAGTATAACTTTAATAACCTAATTTTAAAGTATAGTCCTCAAAACGTAAAGTATTAAAGTATAATCCTCGAAACGTAAAAATGTATTAAATGTATTTGTTCGGAACTGTGAATTAAATCAACCATCATCGATTGATTCAATATGACATTTAAAAACTAAAAAGCAACTTAAAGGAAGACAATTACCAAGTCGATCCTACAGCCATCTTATTGCCAAATGTCATCCAAATTATTGTCTCTATCTATTTGTGAGCTCACGAGAACTTTTGCAAGCTTCTAATAGATAAATATCTCTATCGTTGTATAATTTTAAGAACCTTTTTTTTTTGAAATGCTGAACTTCAACATAGACACGAGTGAAAACTTCATTTTAAATTATTGTCTTAATTATATTGCTTCTTGCAGGTGAAAAGCCTTATTCCTGCGATTTGTGTGGCAAAGCCTTTGCTGATTGCTCAAATTTAACAAAGCATAAAAAGGTATTCTAGCGATTTCTATCTCCTCTGTCTAATTCTGATAGCTGCAATTTAGTAAAATCACTAATTTTCATAGGTGCACAGGGAAAATAAAGTGCTAACTGTGGACAAAGCGGGAGGATCCCCAATTGGCGAGGTGTGGCAAATCTTACCAAACTCACAGGAGAGTGACGAACAAGCACTCGTCAATGATCAAATGACGCAAGTGATTGCGACTGATGAAGCATCTACCGATGGAATTCAACAAATTATCTATGTGTCCTATCAAGATCCTGATGATCCCAATCAATCACGAACATTGCATTTTGGTATACACAGTCGATTTGTATTTTATATATTGTGTGCGTGCATGCGTGCGTGCGCGCACGCGTGTGTGTGTAATATACATGTATATTTATCATCTTGATTATATTAGTCGAGATTCATTAACAAATATTTTTGTCAAATATTAATCAATTAACCGATATTAATTCAACTGTATTAAAATATAGTCGATACTAGCGCGATAAGAAATAAGGACGGAATAACATCAGATATAAACTCATTGCCACGTTTAGACGTTGAGAACGACGAAATAATTGCCGACAAAATTACAAATAATACAGCCAGCAATAACGAAGAGCAATCTGGAATAGAGCTTTCCGACTCTGATTTACAGTTGCAGGTAACAATAGATACCAATAGTTATTTTTTCATGTAAAATTTTTGATAAACATTTTGTTTTTATGGGATTATATAAATGGCATTTTCAGATTACAGATGAAGAAGGTAATCCTATTCCGCTGTCGATCCAAGAAGCCCGGCAGCTTCTTTCTCAAGGACACTTTATTAGTCAATTGAGCGACGGCCAAACTATTCGCGTTCATTCTGGAATGCTTACGCAACAGTCCACGCATGCCTTGAACATTCATGTTGATGAGGAGGCTGCTGTAACCGCGGCAATGAAAGGGGAAATTACGACCCGTCCGACCAAAAACGTTGAAACTATGTCGGTAGTTCAAACCGACGCGGAAGCAATCGTCAAAGCTCTCGAGGTAATCTAGAAAAAAAATATATTAGCAAATAATTGCGATAAAATTTGGATATATACAAATTTCTGCGTGCACTCAAGAGTAGCTTTGACATTTTTTTTTATAAAAAAAGTCACGAACACCTTGAATTTTTTAAATGGCATCATGCTATTTTTTTCCATAGTACAGTTTAGAAACTTTTATTCTAGTGCTATTTTTTTCCATAGTGCAATTTAGAAACTTTTATTCTAAGTCTGTCAACAGCATCAAAGCTGCTCTTGAGTGCACGCAGAAATTTGATTTATTAAACTGTGTAGTTACATAAATTATTATTTTTTTTTTATATAGATCTTGATTTCAAAAGTCAATAAAAATTGGTTTTAATAATGTTTTGACGTGGGATTCTAAATCTAATATCTAGGGTTCGCGGAGCGTTATCTTTATTATTTCTCTTTTCAAAAAATTTCTTAATATCAACAAATATTTTAATTATATTTTTTAGGATGAAGATACAGATGCGACGGCAGTCGCAACAATTAATCAGTTAGAAGGAGGAATCATGGACAGTGAACATGCGATAGAATTTACAACTCAAGATGGGCAAAAAGTTCGCGTCCTGACATCGTACCATGTCGATGGAATGCAGCTTACTCCAGAGTACCTGACTATTGTACAATAAACAAAAAAAGAAATAGACATTAATATATAGCTAGGTATATATGTAGACGTGTGTGTGTGCGCGCGCGCGCGTGTGTGTGTATGATGTGCACTTCACAGTTTTTGTAAGCATTTTCAACGATCAAATTAATCTCCTTGATTTCAGTAATTTTTTAGCAGTATTGAATGAAATATGCGATCTTTAAGCGATATTTATTTAGTCTAGAGAAGGTTGGACTGGTGATCGGTGCGAGTTAACAAACTTAGTAACATTGTGAAAATTAAAAAAATTTTAACATCTGTAGATATTTTTAGAGATTTTATAATATTTAAAACAGTGCGACATTTTAAGGAACGCCTAAGGACATTTTGCAAGTGTTTGCTATATATAACAGTAAATATGTGCCGAAGACACTTTCATAAATCGCAATTTCATCCATGACACTGCTTATGCACATAATGATGATATATCATCATATATACGATATATACACATAGTGATGATATATCATGTGTGTATGATATTAAAAACATAGTATTAGAAATTACATCAATAAATTATTTAAATCTTGTTAAAAGTAAGTCACTTATAAGAGAAATATGAAAACATGTAATAAACTTTATAAATGGGGGAAAAAATTACTTTCTGCGCTATTATTTAATATAATTTTTATGTTGCTTCGTCCATTGATGTACGAAGTATAGTATAGTTTCTGTACCCATACAGCACAGACTTCCAAGAGACGTCCTAAAAATATCCAAGATGTCCATCGGATAAAATGCATGGAGCATCGAGTGATGTCATTTTGTATGAAACCTATGAAATTATAAGCCTATATGAAAGGTATTAAACACCAAAAGGAACAGAAAAAACAAATAAAACATATTTCTAATTTTTTTCTGATTTATTTGCTAATTTAAAATCTAACATATTTTAAATAATACATAAGGAGATAATGCTTTTTTACATTTAGCTATGTTTATAAGTTATAATAAACACCATATTGTATTTCATTTTGCGTAATTTGTACAATTTCATTGTTAAATGAATATAACAAAATAAAGGTGAAAAAGGGATTACATTTTTTGTTTCAACCAATAATATAAATATCTAGACTAAGGTGATTTGCACCAATTCCGATTAACCTAATCGACTGATTAACTCAACGGAATTGACCAATCGCATTTGCCAATTAGCTAAACTGATTAATACGATTGGTCAATTCCATTAAGTTAATCTGTCCATTATAATTTAATATAAAATTTTCTAATTAGTGATCCAGTGAAAAGACTCTAGACACCGGTCGATATATGTGGATGTGCGCTAATGGCATCTGCCCACAGGACGCGGAAGTGCTTGCCGCATGGAGGAAGTTCGCACGGTAGCCAATAAACTTCTAGTTCTTATCAAAAAACGGCATGTTGATTGGCTACCACGCAAACTTCCATTGCGCAACAAGCATTGCTAAGTCCTGTGGGCAAAAATCATTTTTCCTTAAGTTTATTTTCCGATGCTGTTTTTCAAACTCATTTCATTGGCTACGAAACATATGAAGATGAATTTAAGACGGTCTTAAATATAAGATCTGACTATGAATTCCGGCCTAAATCTCGGATCGAGATCTGTTGACCGGATACGAAAGTTACTAAAAATTACTGGAAATTCTAATATCTTCCAAACATTAGCCAATAATCGTATAAATTTCCGTTACGCTTACATACACTTCCAAGCTACACTTTCATGCACTGCACTGACCACACTACCTCCTGACTCAGTGCAACAGTTCACTGAACTGCCTGCATTACATGCTGTTGCACTGCGAAAACGAACAGCGTTGATGACGTCATGATTATGTCATTCTCAACAAAAAGAACGCTTTAGTGTAAACTCCTTGCACTGGTGTGCACAGAAAGTGTTTCGAAAAAAAACAGACTTAATATATTAACCGGGTCTGGTAAATTTTTGGTACAAAAAATTGTTTGTTCTGGCAACACTGACATTACCTAAAACGTATGATTTTCACGATAGGCATAAAAATGAACATGACCTACATTACTTGATCTGATGAAATGTGAAGCTCTATCGTACATAATAGAATATAAAACCTTTATTATCAGCCGATATATGAGTTATACTACGTTGTCAATAAGTAGAATCCAAGATATCTAGATCTTTTCGTCGAAGTTGTTTGTAAAATCGGAAAACCATCGGAATCGTTGAACAACAAAAATGGCGTATCGTGGTGTTAAAGGTTCTGATCCGTTTGTGTCAAAAACCTCGCGAAATGAACGTTTCGCGCAAATGTCGAAGCAAGAACAAATTATTCAACAAAAGAAGCTGGAGATCCAGGCGAAAATGCAAGAACAGAAAGCGAAAGAAGCCGTCGAATGCATGAAAAAGTCAAATTCATCGGCCTCTACAACAACAAGCAGTAAAGGCAATGGTCCAAAGTAAGCCCTCTTTTAGAGTATTATTATTTAGAGTTTGTAACAATTTCGAGTTTTCTAAATGGAATACCTACTATTGTATACATATATACGTGTACATATATATATATATATGTAATTTGTGTTGTATATATATATACACATACACAAGTATATATATATACTTATTTATTTATTTATTTATTTATTTATTGATACATGGTATTCAAATATATTAGTTTGCATTATTTGTTTACATGTTTATAGGGATGAAAATGAAAAACTCACCTCATCCTACTGCATGAATGTATTTGCCAACGATGGCAGCTTTTTGGATCAGTTTAAGAGAATAGCAAATAATAAAGGAACTAGCAAACAAGAGATACAAGATAAATACGAAGATAAGAGAAGAGATGACAAGTGCTATGATGTTAGAGAAAGAGACAGAGATAGAAAACATCGAAATGAGAAAACTAGAGATTGGGATAGTCGACGAGACCGTAGGAGAAACGATTCACGTTGGGGAAGAAGTTCAGATAATAGAAAACATAGTTCCTCCTCAAGTCCATCGCCTACTAGACATAGATCACCATTAAGCCCAGAGACACGACATAGTTATAATCAGTCTCAGAATGGGCAGCGTGTACAGTTTAGTCAGCAATTTCCAATTCACAATAATAATCACATTTCTTCCATCCCGTCTCTCATGTCTCAGCCAGTGATGCAAATGACAAATATTCCTCCGCCAACTATGAGGAATTTGACACCAAATATCCCATCTGTGCATCTGCAGAGGCTGCCAGTATCAAAGAATTTTAACAATAATTACACTAATATAAACGATCATTCTAACAGTGCCAGAATGCAAGTTGCACCACCACCACATATTATACGTCCTCCGCCTCCACCACCTCCTATCCAAAGCATTCCGCCCAATACAAATGTTCCTCCGCCTAACATGCAGATTTCTCAGACTATGCCTATGGCCAATTTATCTTCAAACGGGCAACAGCACATCATACAAAATCCACAACAATGTAACATACAGCCACCAGCATGCAATGCTAACTTACAACCACCCAATATTCCTCCTCCTAACATACCACCACCAAACATTTTGCCATCGATGTCGCAGATGCCACCGACTATGATGCCTATCACTGGCTCGCAAACCATTGTGGTGACAGTACCGAATGTAGCTAATGTTCCACCGCCAAGTGTGATAACGCCTATGATAATGTCAGCGCCTCCGCCAGTGCATACTGTTTCATCGACGATCAATTCTGTTCCACCGCCAAACCTGAATATCCCCCCGCCAAACGTACCACCTCCCTCTGTCATACAAAATGCAGCACCGCCACCGTGTCTCATGTCCACCAGCTATGCCCTTTCTAATCAGGTACCAATTTCGGTGGGCCCACCTAACGTACAAATACCACCACCTGTGAGACCACCGATCAACCTACAGAGTTCCGAACAAGGTATGATATCACGCTCAACGAATATGAGCTTACTTTCGTGTTCACGCATAATAAATTCTTATTTATAAGCATTAATGACATTATTTTTACTTCTCGTGCGGTATTAACCAAATATTGTGGATTGTTGAAAAGATTATTTGTTTGCGTGAGACATGGTGTTAAATTGTATGAATAATATTTCATCGGGAATTAGTAAAAAAAAAAAAATACACGGCTATAAAGCGAATTGGGACGTTATTATACGTGTCTGACAAAGGATTCTAAGTGTGTCTAGTAGAGGCTGAGCAACTGGCACGCATTGTGGCTGACTGTGGAGATGAAATTGAACAAGAAGTACGCGAGAAGAACGCTCAAGATCCTAAATTATGGTAACTACTGTCCTCACTGGCCCTCGTTTTGTATTTCCTTGTCCCTCGTTTGTAATATGATTAATACTTGTATGATATTTGGAGATGACAATTTATTTTACATTATAGGATCTTTTACAAAGTCTATACTTCAGTAATTCTTGATAATATTTCAGTAATAATAACATAGTCAAATGCACAAACATCATTAAATATCCTGCTTAATGTGCATTGTTGCAAATATATACCCGCATCATTAAATATCAGCTATATATTACGAAGGGAATTGATTATTTTAATAAGATTAACCCGAAAACAGGATCAAGGAATTTAAGGGCATGTAGTCTGACAAAGATAAACAAAAGTCCATACCCCTAAAATCTTACTTTTCTCTTAGAACCATTTTGTAGAAACTGGATGAATTTCTTATATTTTCATAAAGTGAGCCACAATATTTTAGGTTTGATCAAGTTATAAAAGATGTATGCATTTTTACACTGAACATGCTTTTTCTTGCAATCACAGTAATGACGCCACATACATGTACATACAAGGTTTTTTTTTTATTTTAATCAACTTGAATATCTTTTAAACTAAGTAAGATATTGACATCTTGTTTTTTCAAAGAGAACACAATTTGATGAAAAAAAAATTGACCTTCGACCTCCGTTAAGGTCAAATGTTGATAAATATAAGTATAAAATGTAACATTTCGAAAATTATTCATTTTTTCTTAATCTTATTTTAGTATTTTTATAGGCAGGTTGACTTGAGGAATTGACTTATGTTTATTATTATTTATCAATTTATTTAAAAAGTTAT